TTCTGTTCTTTGTACTTTTTTTCTCCTCCAGCTCTTCTATTCGGCCTTTACACCTAGAATATATTTTTTTTTCAAAATCACATGTACACTTTTTTCTGTAGACTAGTGTTTTGTCTTTTTTTAAAATGGAAAGTGAAAAATCACACAAACAAAAAAAAATTGAGTTCAAACAAATCTATGTAGCCATTGTATGCCTGTGCCTACCACAAGAAAAAAAAACAGCCTAGAAAAATTGCGCCAAAATAGAAAAACCCCATCCACATGTCGCAAATGGAAGAAATATTCTAAAATTAAAAAAAAAAAACACAACAACAAAAATAGAGAAGGCCGGTGTCGCACATTAAAACATCGTGTGTTGTATTTTTTATTGTAAAATATATATTTTTTCTTTTCTTCTTGTATTTTTAATTTAAATATATAGGTTATGTGTGTGATTTGTTCATATTTTAGTTTTACGTTTTATTTTTTAATTTATTTATAATTTCCAATTGATTGTGGTTTTTATTGCTCACAATGACAAATGAGTTTGGATATGATTATAACAAATGTAGTTTAGAGAGAGAAATATTGTGAAAAAATAAAAATATAAATTCTAGTCAATTTTATTATAAAAAATAGTATATAATTAAAAAAATATGTAATAATATTTTAAATAAGTTAACAGTATTTAATTTCAAACAAAAATTAATTAAATATTTTCAAACTGCTACGAAATTCCTGTTTTTATTGTTCCCTTTTTATAAAAATTTATTACTAAACTCAGTATAAAACGGTATTTTATCAATTTTGTAGAATTCAATATGAAGGGATTCCTTGAGCCTAACCCAGAAACTGCAAAAATTTACAAATTTTACTTAAAATTTTACTCCGATAACCATTTTTTATCTTAATTTATCGAAAAAGAGATTTTTGTAGTTCTGGAACAATTCCAAGGTAGGATATCGTTTTTTTAATTTTCACACCCTAGGTATTCAATATTTATTTTATAAAAATGTCAAATAAAAAAGAATACGCTTTCCTTTCGTATTTTCACAGAACATAAAATTTAGTCCCAGAATTTTTAATAAAATATTTTTGTTTTTGCAAAATAGTCAGGCTGAATCCCAGTTTGTTCTTTTTATAAAAAAAAACAACTATTTATTAGTGGGGAATGTATGGCATTGTCCGCCGAGGGGTAAGGTAGGGAAGACAATAGTTTCGGGATATTCTTCCCTTCCCTGCCTTACCCCACGGCGGACAATGCCATACATTCCCCACTTATAAATAGTTGTTTTATAAAAACAACAAACTGGGATTCAGCCTGACTATTTTGCAAAAACAAAATACAAATGACATCCCAAATAACCCGCCTACACTACTGAAATATATTTTTTTTATAAAAAACAGAAGTTTAGTTGTTAACTATGTCTGCTTCGGGTGAGTAAAATGTTACAAAATTATTATCCAAAATAACAAAAAATTATAAATGTTGTTTGGTATGTAATGGAAACAAAAATCGTTTTGAATCGTTTCATTTCAGCGATGATGGGGTTGTGCATTTACACACAATAAGTTGTAAAATCGGACTGGATCTTGTGGCTATTCCCTTGGCTATTCTATTCACTGATTTTTTTTTTAATTTTGAATATTAGTGGCAAAATTGAAACTCACATCCAATCTGATATGGCCCAAAAATTGTACTAGGGTCCCCAGTTATATACATATAAATATATATACTTCCCCCTTTGCTATTCTATACAGACTTCATATATTTCCGGGAAATTAGGTAAGATAGCAATTAACAAAGATATGTAGCGGATGTGCATGCATGTTCCTCTTGCCATCTGCTTTTTCGGACAACAAATAATCCCGTCCTGATTACCTGGCGGCGTCATCGCAAATTTTTTATCCTACATCAGCTTATCTACACAACTTGATTCCGAAAAATTTGGTTCGAAAACTGAATAGAGACCTTAACAATGTCTTCTACCTGTAGAGGAAGTCATAAGACAGTCTTATAGTTTTACATTTTCCTACATACTAAAGGAGGGCATATAAAGGTATCTTGTTCACAGGAAGTTTATTATTGAAATTATACTCTACTCACTTCTTTTAACGAAATAAATATAGCATACCTATATAAAGCCTCGGCAGTTTAGAGTTCCATACGAGGTCAGAGGACTTAATAAAGTTTTTATTTTTACAGAACCTATAAAGATATCCTACTGTCTATATGAAGGTTTGTGAAGGTTTTTTTATTAATAAGACTTGAAATTATTCTCGGCCGTTCGAAACCCCGTTGAAGATATTTTATAAACAATAAATATTGAAAGTCTGTAGAGTCCTGAAGATAAAATAGCTATATAAAACTAAAGAGAGATCTTCAATTTATTTCTATTTATTATTTAAGGTACCCTACTATCGACTGAAAGTCTATGAAACTATTGAAATTATTATCTGGCTTTAGAAACCCCATTGAAGGTATTTGCTATTGAGAAGACTTATTGATACTCTGGTATTATAAACAAAAGATAAAAGATCTGTAAACTACACTCTCTTAATAGAACCGCATATACAAGTTTTACTATATTTACAAACCCCTTATAAAGTATCCCATATGTAGAGTCCTCCTACATTATTAAAAGCAAGTTAGTCGTAAAAGACATTCTTAAGTGTCTTCTATAAATGGGAAAACTGCGTTGTCTTCCATAACCAAAAGACTTTCGTTAAATCGTTCTTAAAATAAGAAGACTTTCATTAGCTGAATTCTATAAATAGATGACTTTTATTAGGTCCACTGTAAATAGAAGACCTTCTATAAATAAAAAAAATTGTAGGTACTTCTATAAATAAAAGACTGCATTACATCTTCTATATATGAATACCTGAATTAAGGGTAACTCCCCTATTCTCGATTTTAAATTTTCAAGGTTTTCATTGAGCTGGTAAATGAATACCAATGCAGGTTAAGGTTTGTAACACATATATACACGAAGATTTAAATGAGAAGAAAACTAATTTGCAAAATTTGGTTGTTGTTGTTGTAGCAAACCTATTGCTTTTACACCATGGGCTGAGGTGACGTTGGCCGAGTATGGTTCGGATCGTTTAGGATCGTAGACCCCTCTGTTGGTTGTTGTTATTTTTGGTGATTAATGAAAATTCCTTATTTTTGATGGTGGGTATGATATCTCCTCACTGGATCATCGGATTTTGGAAATTCCAAGGGTGTAGAAAAAGTAAATGTCTGGCTCTCGTATGAACTAGGATTGTATTGGTCCCGTTAAGTCTCTTCTATACAAATGTTATATCTCTCAATATAAGAACTTTACTAGATCTTCTACAAATGGCAGAATTACATTGGATCCTCTCAAACAGTCAATAGGGACATCTATAAATAGGATGACTTAAATAGGGACACGTTAGATCTTATATAAATAGAAGACCCACATTATATCTCCTATTTAAATAAAATACCTTCATTATGCCTTATATAAATAAAATATTTTATTTAGATCTTTTATAAATGGCAGACCTATATTAGGTCTTTTAAAAGTATAAGACCTTCATTATAAATGGGAGAACAACATTAGGTATTCTATAAATAAAATATATTTGCGTGACCTATATTAGATCTTTTAAAAATATAAGACCTTAATTAGGTTTTCTACAAATGGTAGACCCACATTAGAACCTGTTTAAATAAATGACCTCGATTATTTTCTTCTATAAATACAATAGTTTCTTAAAGTATTCTATAAATAGAAATACCTCTTTCTATATCTTTTAAATAGAAGATCTTAAAAACCATTAAGACTTCTAGAGATAACGATAACTTTCTTCTTTTATACATATATAACCCAATACACTTATACAGATTGTTTAGACATACGTCCAAATATCTAAATAAGTTATAATTCAAATCAATTTAATTTCCATTACATATCCGAACACCAATTTAAAAATAAAACCTAAAACACACTTCCACATTTCCCCTCTATTAGAAAGTAGTTTCTCGTTTTGGAATTCCTCCTCACTTCCCTTACTTACTGTGTTTTTTGAATATTTCACACATTTGTTGTTTTCTCCTCAAATTTAAATAATTTAGTTTTGTTGTTGTTTTTTCCGAAACAGAAAATTTAGAACAAGTTATTGGAAACATAAATTTGTACATTGTTTGGTTTTATTTGGGGGGTTGTTGTTTTTCTTTTTCATATTTTGTTGTTTGTTGTATATTTGGGGGATTTTTCATGTCTTGTTGTTGATTTTGTAATAATCATTATAATTAAAGTTAGTTTACATACTTATAGTTAAAAAAATAAGTGTAAAGTGTTCTCTTTTTGTTTATAAATTAGAAAGAAAGAAAAGGAAAAAAAATAAAGTGAAATGTATTTTTTGGAGTGGTTGTTGTGGAATTCTTCCACTTTGTTTTCAAAAACAAAAAAAGAAAAACCAAATAAAAAAATTACAAAATTTCAAAACGAGTAGCAGCAACAGGAAGTGGTGGGGGTTGTCTTTATTGTCACGAAATTTCAGTACAAAAAAACACTCCACCACCCCTTTCTTTGCTGCTACGGGTTGTGAAATTTTTCAAGTCAAGGCATTACAAATATCTAAGCCTTGCTTCTCTTGTCTCTGATTCTTTATTATGTGAGTATAAAAATAATTGAATTTGAAATTGTCTTTAAAGAGAACAAAAAACCATCATCTTTTTTTCTTCATTTTTCTTTTTGTGGAGGAAGCAAAATTACAATTTTTTCTTTTGTTTTCTTATACGTTGAGAATTTAAAAAAATAGTATAGTTGCGCGTCATATTATTATCGTTTATGGAGCATTTATCTAACATAACGCTCCGTTTTTTGTTTTGTTTTACACTAAAAAATACATCTTAAAAACTCGTTCATTTTCTGGCTATCTTCTTCCCACCACACATCCAGGTAGTAGTTAACCCAAAACGGGAAGAAAGTGGCAGCAAAGTATATTTTCTTCTTTCTCTTATCTTCTCTTCTTCTGCATAATTTTTACATCAAGCGACATTTCTCTTCACCCTGTTGCTGTTGTTCAGGATCACCTTGCTGATGGTAGAGATCCTCATTGCCCACACCATCATAAACGGAAACACTGTGACGTCCACTGCTGCTGGGTCCAGTGGTGCGATGACGCGACACATGACGTATAACCGTACGCTTAAGCCTCTCAGCACCGGCAACTTCCTCACCATCGGCATTAAACAGTGATGTCTTTATACTCTCACCACTCTGCCATTTTTGTGATTTCATAACGATATTGGTTGGTGGTTCGTGAGTTACACCCGTAACATCCGACGACCATACCGTTATAGTAGCACCACCATCAATTTTAACTGTACGATGGAATTTAAAGGTGTTCTCCTTGCCATCGGCATTACGCTTCAGTTGCCAGCCACCAATTTGTACTTCATTGGTACCCTTATTGTGTACCTTGACAAATTTACCCTCGGGATCGAATTCGGAAATTTCAATATCACCCTTTGCACTACTGGTTACAAAGTATTCGGATTGGCTAACATCTTCGGATTCATCGACAACGGTACGTTTACGTTTGAAGGCACCCGAGGCAGTAGAGGGTGCGCGCATTGGGGTCTTACGATGTGGTGTGGCACGTGTTGAACGCAACGATTGACTGAACGAACTGGCCGATGCTGAGCCGGGTCCAGGTGTAATATTTAAACGAGTTTCTTCACCGCACAATAATTTGTCGTAGGCAGCAATTTCCAAATCCAATGAAACCTAAAAGGTGAGAGGAGGAAGAAAAATAAATTAATTTTGAAAATATCGATTGGGGTCTTCACATTCAAAGATAATAATAAATGATCGAGTGTATATCTTCTATAAATAAAAAAACCTATGGAGGACCTCATAAAGGTCTAGCAAAGATAGAAAAACCGGCAAGAGAAAAAACATTAATAGAGTTCCTACAGATGTGCTATCTGTAGACATCCACCATTTTTTATAAAGGAAACCCCCAAATAAGTCTTCAGACTTTAAACGCAATACCTACAATAGACCCAATACAACATCCAAAGTTCTTCATTCGTTCTATAAATAAAATGGTTTCAGATTCTCTACAGGTGGAAGTCCTCTTTAATGCCTTAAGGACTTCTAACAACAAAAGACATACAATAGGGACTAAAAGACCTTTGTTAAATCTTCTATAAATGGGAGACCCACAATACCTCTTCAAATAAATGATCTAAAATATGTGTTCTATAAATAAACTATTTTCTTTAGATCCTCTAGAGGCCTAAATTAGGTCTTTTAAAAATAGAAGACCTTCATTAGGAAATCATTTTCATAGCAAAAACCTATATAAGTATCCTATAAAGAGAACATTTGAATACAATTTCTACTAATCTGCTATCTGTTGACCTTCAATATTTTTTTCTTTAAAATCAGACCATCGATAAATCTTTGAATTATAAATTAAAGTATTCTATCCTAAGTAAAACTTCAATATAGAGCTTGTCTTATACATATAGGTGTTGTGCAGCAATAGACCATATATTTTTTTTAGACCTAAAATATATATTTTATAGATAGAATATCTTCATTAGTTCTTCTATAAATTGGAAATATTTGGTATTCTATAAATAGACAACCTACATTAGGCGGCATTTAAAAGCAATTACTTTCATTAGTTCAATTAGGTTTAGGTTAGGTCTCCTACGGTAATTTTATAAGCTTTAAAATTATGCTTATTTTATATTAACCGGATCCGTAGAACCGGATATAACCGGGTATAAGCTTTAAAATGATACCCATTTTATATTAACCGAATCTGTAGAACCGGATATAACCGGGTAGCCTTACCCGAAATAACCGGGTACGTCCCCCAAGAAAAAAAATTATATGCCATATGCCCCAGTACCCTTTGGAAGGTACTGAGGGCTTAAACGTCTCAGTCGCCAGCTCCCTAGATGTGCTAGGGCCTTCAACAGTTGTCTCCTTTGAAAGGTGGGGTGGTCTTCGCACTAGGTCTAGGAATCCGTTCAATCAAGAAGTCCCTCGCAATATCATTCGGATAGTTCCTGGAGAACTTCCTTGGCATTGACTTGTCTAGCAGTTCCTGATACTGAAGATTCATCCATCTTAACGACGGGAGTCTCATCAGTCCCAGTCTCCGCTTCGACAGCCAACTGCTTGAGAAGTCTCGCAATGTCACTACATGAAGATGGAGTTCGGATCCTCAACCTCGCCACGGCTATCACCCCCAATCATCATCTGGGAGGACTCAACTTGCTCCTGAGGGGACACCAGGATAGCTACCGTGTTCGTCACCGTAGTGCTAATGACTGTAGTTTCCACGATGTCTTCCTCGTCTAACAAGGGAGAGTCGTTCCAGAGTTGATTCGGGATGCTCTCCCGACTAAGGCGGAAGGAGCCGGTTTCCTTTAGTAAATTGAGGAAAAGATCCGTCTGCCTTTTCAGACATTCGTTCACGTCGTCGAGAGTAACAGGACTTGAGACAAAAGAAAGGTCCAGGGGATTAGCTTGGACCATCAACATGCGTTGAGTTGATTCGGGATGCTCTCCTGACTAGGGCGGAAGGAGCCGGTTTCCTCAAGTAAATTGAGAAGAACCGTCTGCCTCTCCAAGCTTTCGTTCACGTCGTCGAGAATAACAGGATTGGAGGCAAAAGAGAGGTCTAGGGGATTAGTTTGGGCCGTCAACATGTGTGGGAGTTCATTGATGTCTGACCTTGTAGAGTTCGAGACTGAGGGTGTCATGGCAACCACACCAGCATCAGTCGAAAAATCGCATACCATATTGTTTTTAGAAGAGTGGGGAGAATGAATCAATCAGCAGACCCTTCATAGGTATTTTGATGGCACGCCTTTTCCCATCGGAAGTTACATTATTTTTGCATTGAAAATTGACTTTGATTTTGCTATCCGTTACCTAGATAATTGGTGGTGTTCCTTACAGAAAATTTCCAATATAAAACCTAATTTTTACATAGCTTAATTTCGGTATGTCCTAGCCAAATTCTCCAACTTGCAGTTTTGTAACTCCTTTTTCTACTGGCTGCAATTTACAATTTCATAGCCCCCATTTGACTCGATTTTAGAAATTCAAAATGTCAAACTCATGGTGAAATGTATAAAAAATTTCGTCCGTGCAAAATTTATGGCCCATTTTACATCTCTCATAATTACCTTAATATCCATAAGATCTTGATATTCTTGCAACTGTTGGGCCATTTCATCGCGTAGACGTTGCAATTCCGCTTCCAAACTGGCGATGTCAGTGACATGACGAGTACGTTCATTATCCAACAATTGTTCCAAATCACGAATGCGGGCATTCAGAGCAGCATTTGTTGATTCCAGTTCATTGATGCGGCTGTTCAAGCTATCAATACGGGTGCGTGTGGCACGCAACTCTTCAATGGCACTCGAGGCAGCACCGGAATTACGATTAGCCGCAGCCTGAAGACTCTTAATCTTCTGCTCATAGAGCATTTCAATTTCATCACGATTTGCACGCATTTGTCCTTCGTATTGTTCACGTAACTCCTGCAGAGATTGTTGTAATTTAGCCTCATACTGTTCGGAGAGGCGTCCATCAATTTCACTGATTTCCACTTGGCGACGAGAGCGTGTCTCGTTGATTTCTTGCGAATGAATTTGATCCTTAAAGGTAAGCTCTTCGCGTAGACTCTGAATGTTATTCTCCAAATCGACACGGGCCAATGTTTCATCTTCCAAATGTTTACGGGCCTCATCCAGCTGCTTGCGTAGACGTTCAAGTTCCTTTTGGCATTCGTTGAGATCGTCAACGGCCTTTTTGCGATCGGCATTTGCAGCATTATATTTGGCGCTCAAGTCGGCAGCACGTGACTCATACATACGAGCATTTCCTAAAAGAAAACAACAACAGACACTGTGTTAATTAAAATCGAAAAAAAAAAATCCGTTGAAAAAAAATTAAATACAATTTGCAAAATAAAACAGCAATTGTTGCAAGTATGGCAACTCTTGACATTGGCACTGTATTAACAAATGTCACCCGCATCTTATACAAAAATTCTCTCATTCGTTTTCTCTCTCACACACACAACAGCCTGCTTCGGCCAGCCATCGCAAATTGTCAAATATAGAATATTGACATAAAAAAATTAAAAAAAAACTGGCATGAAAAAATAAAAACACATGTACAGGCCGGCAACCGACGGACCGACCAAAGCAAAGCCGCTGATAAACCAGAATAAGAACAACAACAAAAAGCACACACACCACAACACAGCGACAACAACAACAAAATCTACATAACACTCACCTTCAGCAATAGAACAGTCCTTGGTTTTCCTATCCAATCTGGCCTTCAATTCTTCATTCTCCTCCCATAGACGTTTAATGTCAATTTCCAATTTGGCCTTTTCACGGGCCGTATCGTCCAACAAGCGGCGGGCATCACTCAGCTCATTTTCGTACATCGATTTGATGTTGGTGGATTCACGCGTTATGGTGTCGCGTGTTGTTTGCACTTCGATAGAGAGGCGGGCATTTTCCGTTTCCAAATTGCGTACGCGATCAATGTAGGCGGCCAGACGATCGTTCAGATTCTGCAATTCAGCCTTTTCCACTAGACGTGAATGGCGTGTGGGGCTCAATGGGCTGGAGGGACGATTTGAGCCAGTAATCAATGGTGTACTGGTGCCACCCGGCTGGGGCGTGGCAGTACCCGCGCGTTTTGATTTCGTTGCCATTATTAAGTTATTTTAATTTGTTGTTTCACAATATTTTGTAATAATTTATGTTATGTTATTTTTTCACTTGACAAATTGCGGTTGTCTTCTATAGGTGGTCTGCTTGCTTCTTCTTCTTTTTATTTATTTTTTCAATTTTCTTCTTCTGCTTTCTTATTTTATTAGCCGTTGTTGTTTTTCTGTCAACTACTAAATACGAGTAGAGAGTAAAGTAGCATTAATACTCAAATGACCGCGTAGAACTGATTAAATTCCACAGCGTCAAACGTGTACGCGACGAACAAGATTAGATACACACACACGAACGCACAGAGTAACGAAAGTCACGGACAGCAAACGTTTGGCAGATAGATACGCACGCAACAACACCACAAATCAAACTGGCAAAAGTACGTTTCAACCAACCGCCGCATTTGTTGTATGCCGGGCATTTTAGTACAGTTGCGACAACTGAGTGTGTTTGTGTTGTGTTTATGTTTGGGTTTTTGAGTGAAAAGTGTTGCCACACGTTAATGTTTATGACAGAGTTTGACCTTCCACAACAAAACATGAGGATGATTTGAATAAATTTGGCCGAATTGTAGTGGCTTATTTGTTTACGTTAATTCTTTTATAGTACGTTTACATTGCACCGGATGAAGTTAACCCAGTGCGTTTTAATTGTTAATTCCATTACACATTTGTCAAATTAATCCTCATAAAGTAGGATAACCCGGCAAAAAGAGTTCTAATGTACATGTCGTTTTAGGTAAATTTAATCGATTTTTTCTGACCGTCTGTAGAACTTCAATATTTTTATTAATGAGTAAAACGGCATTTACATTAGAACTTTTTACCGGGTTTAATTAGTTAACGCGTATTATTTGACATATATGCAATGGAGTTGACAATTTATACCCACTGGGTTAACGAAATCCAGTACAATGTAAACGTATATAATTCTTCGGAAGTGTTTCTAAATACAGAAATATTTCAATAGTTTTGATAAGGGACCAAAACTGGTGGCCAAAACGAAAGGAACTAAAATTGCAAAGATATAAAATGCTGCATAACTTTTTTCAAAAATAAAGATATTATATTGATTTTTTCAGTTTTAAATCGGGTACTTTATTTATTAGGAAATAAATAATAATTTTTGTTTATGGGAATTGTATTAATTTATACTTGGGAAAAACTGAAACCACTCCACAGGACAAGCAGATAAGCTCTAAATTTTAGTTATTTTTACCGTTATGTTTTGGTTTCTACTCCCATTTCGATTCTTATAGATCATTTTATTAAAATAGCATGCGTGTATTTTTCAATTAAGGGAAACGGGTCAAAATTTGGAACCGATTGGATTATTAGTTTTTGAGTTATCTTGCCCGCCATTCGTAAAATCACAGCTTCGAGAAAAATGGGTTTAGAGTTTGAGAATCACCCTTTACTATATGCTGACAAAACAAGTCTGCTATAGATTTTCTTCGCACAAATTATTTAATGGAGATCCCCTCTCTTCCAAAATGTTCAAGACGCAAGGAATACTACACCCAAAAAAAAAAAGATTACTTTAGTTTTGACCACGCAAAAATTGGTTCAATTTAGTATTCCATAGAATATTTTTTCATTTCAAGATCGTTTTTTTGTATATATTTTTTAATGAAAAAAAATTAAAATATATTTCTGAAAAAAAAAACGTTCACTATAACTTTATTTTCAAAAAAAGTTACATGTTATAGATTCAGTTTGCATTCAGTTACTTTAGTTTTGGCCACCAGTTTACATAAACCTTTCTTTATATAGTAGGATACTTTAATTGTACTTTGTAAAGGACAGTTTTCGGAATGGGACCCAAGTCCATTGGAAACAAAATAAATCGGAATCAATCAATCAAAAAACTATTTTAATTAACAGGAGATTCTGTCGCGTAGCCAATGTTGGTATCTGTCCGTCCATAGGAGAAAGGCTTAAATGACCGGCCAAAGCCAGGAGATTCTTTTGCGTAGCCGGTGTTTGTATCTGTTTATATGAGAAGGACATAAATCTCCGGCCGAAGGCCCGTTTTTACTAAACTAGAGTTAAGCCGAATTAAGTCCAAAGATGGGACTCATTGGTCCAGAAACTCCTAAATAGAATATTTTTTGGTGTAGTCGGCCTTTGGCCGGGGATTTAAGGCTTTCATCTATGGACAGATACCAACATCGGCTACGCGACAGGTTCTAAGGCCCATATCTTTTGAAATCGGTTGCTGCTTACGAGAGTTATCGTGCGCACCATATAGACAGACGGACGGACATGTGTAAATCGACTCCATTTATTTTTGCACATTTTCACCGTATCAAAGTGTATATAGCATTGTCGAGTACTGTAGTGCGAACCAATATATTCTAATTAATTTGATCCATTCTGTTCTTAAATTCCAATCTGGCAGCTTTGCTATTATTGGTTTTTAATAATCTGGTTAATATTCCTTGCATATAAATTTCTCTCATTTCCTGTTTGTGAGCGTTTTTATGCATGTGGTTGTGTATAGCGGCGGCTGGGAAATTTTGTTCGCAGCCTATCTGTATTAGTGTATGTCTCAATTGATTTTGAGTTAACGAGTCCAAACGATACTCAAAAAAAAAAAAAAATACTCAAAGAAATTGTTGTTAGGGCTTTGAGTAATACCGGTTGCGAAAAAAGAATGTAGGGGAAAATACCGGTTCCTTCACTTTCCCCATATATTTCTTTTCTTATGCTTTCTTTTTTGTTTATATTTGTTGCTTTGCTTCTATTTTAACCACTATCACTACCTTGACTCTATTTTTTTGTTGAAATGCCGGGTCACTTATTTCCTTCTTTTTTTCACTTCTTTCGTAAAGAGAACACTTTCACAATGTTATGAGATTTGTTTTTTAATAAATTTGTTAAGATCTTTAGTAAGATTTTGTATTATTTTCAAAGAAATTAAATATGAAGAAAAACAAACGTAATGAATTATCGGTAGTTTATAGAGTTGGGTAGTTCCGGAACGAACTAGTTCATTGGAACTATTCCGAGAAAGGAACGAACGGAACTAGTTCCAGTTCTTTAATTAATATAATTCCTTTCTCTGATCCAGTTCCTTTTTTGAACTATTTGAAGCAAAGGAACTGTATGGAGCAAAGGAACTATAAAGAGCAAAGGAACTATATGGAGCAAAGGAACTATTTGGAGCATAGGAACTATAAAGAGCAAAGGAACTATATGGAGCAAAGGAACTATATATGGAAAAACGAAAAAAAGAATGATGAAAGAGAGAGATTCAAAAGAACTATGTAGGAGTCGGAACTATATGGAGCAAAGAAATTGTATGGACTAAAGGAATTATATGGAGCAAAGGTACTATATGGATCAAAGGAACTATATGGAGCAAAGGAACTATATATGGAAAACGAAAAAAAAAAAATAATAAAAGAGAGAGAGAGATTCAAAAGAACAGTGGGAAGCCTCCAAGACTCCAGCCTTCATAAAATTCGCTTGTTAATCGTCGTTCTGCCAAGACTCAAGCGACGTCGTACGCAAACCTTCGCCAACAAATGGTCTGTTCCAGTACTTTTTATACCCTCCACCATAGTATGGAGGGTATATTAATTTTGTCATTCCGTTTGTAACTCATCGAAATATTCATTTCCGACCCTATAAAGTATATATATTCTTGATCAGGGTAAAATTCTAAGACGATCTAGCCATGTCCGTCCGTCTGTTGTAATCACGCTATCTTCTGAAGGAATTGAGATAGGGTGCTGAAATTTTGCATAGGGTTGTCTTTTGTCTGCAGGCAGGTCAAGTTCGAAGATGGGATATATCGGTCCACGTTTAGGCATAGCTCCCATATAAGGGTACCCCCAATTTTCGGTATTTTGGGGTTATTGAGCGCGTTTTTCAAGCGAATTTGTAGTAAATGTATCCACAAAAAATTATAAATATAGGTCCACTTTTTCTTGTAGCCCCCATATAACGGTACCTCCTAATTTTCAGTATTTTTTGGGTTTTTATCGTATTTTTCACCGAATTGGCTGTAATTTAGTATTTTGAGTTCTTAGCAGGTACCAAATCTCTCCACAAAAAAATTTAAATATAGGTCAATTTTTTCGGATATCCCCCATATAAGGGTACCCCCCAATTTCGGTATTTTGGGGTTTTTGAGCGCGCTTTTCAACCGAATTCGCTGCAATTTTGTACATTGGGTTCATATTGCGTACCAAATATCTCTACTAAAAATTATAAATATCGGCCCACTTTTTCTGGTAGCCCCCATATAAGGGCACCCCAAATTTTCGGTATTTTGAGGTTCTTAAGCGCGATTTTTTTGCAATTATTGATCAGTTTAACAATATTTTTTATTATTTAGAATATTTGAATTAACATATATTTAAATAAAAAATATATGACGGAAAACATAGTAAGTATAAGCCGCGTACATACGATTAATTTGTTACGATAGTTTGGCCCAAAACTTAAACGCCATTTACATTAAAACTTTTTAGTGAGTTAATGTGCGTTTAGATTTACGTAATCCACTCGATCTCAATCGTCAATTCCATAGCGTATACGTCAAATATAATCCACTGGATTTGGGAACATGATTAAGGTACGTTAAGATTTACGAAATTCAATCGATCTCAAATGTCAATTCCATTGCTTATATGTCAAATATAATCCACTGGATTTGTGAACAGAATTAACTTGACATCTACGCAATGGAATTGACATCTAAGATCGAGTGGATTTAGTAGTCTAAACTTAGCCTTAAGGTGATGTGGGAAATTCGAGACAGCAAGTATGTAAATAATTTAAAATTGTATTAAAAATATAAAATATTTTCCGGACCAAAATGTACGTAAAAAGGACCAATGTTAAAAATGGAAATGGACCGAAATGGCCAATCATCGGACACATTTTGTATTTTTTAGAAATTAGTTTAAATTATATACAATGGAGGAGCATGTATGTTACCTACTGAATTTAATCCCAAACTAAAAAACATTTCAATATTTCAGATCCATCAACCAATTTTATTGATTCAATTAAATCTCTAAGTTTTTGTTGTGTGTGCTTTGTTTTCCTTCTTCATTTTTTTAAATAATAATACAACTTATGTTTAAAAACATTTGCTAATGGAATCGAAAGTAAGCCTCCTAGACGACGATAGTTTATACAAACATACACAAAACTATACATATTTTTGTACATCATTCTTCAGCGATGTACATACATACCGACGATTTTCACATGCAATTTTGGTAAATAATGTTAATTAGTAATTTTATTTTGTTTGTTGTTGTTGTTTTTTTTCAACATTTCTTAATAATACTACACTACATACTTAAGCTTGTAATAAAAACTCATTGACATGCGTTGCAACACGTTCCGGTGTCACGAGATGCAAATGATGTGTTCCAGGTACAATTTTATATATCACAAGTTCCGCATTTTCTTTAAGTATTTCAATCACATTATCATAGACATGTGGATTTTCAAATTTCATACCGGGATCACCGCGTATATTGAGAACTTTACAGCGTATACGTTTCGCATAGGCATAGACTTGATCGGCGGTAAACATGCCCAAGAGGGAGACTTTTAGTCGTAAATCTCTGGAAAAATGATAACCATCAGCACTGATATGTTGTGGTGCCACTTCCATGCCACGTTCTATTAAATATTTTACCGACGCCTCATCGACGGAACCATCATAGGCATCGAGCACTAGCTTTGTCATTTCACTATAAGAATAACAAGGTACTTTAGTTTCCGGCAATGTTTCATAGTCAAGAAATTTGTCCAGGGCCCAGCCTGTGGTCTCCGCCTGACGATCAATGCTGCGCACCGTCGGTCCGGCAATATCGAAATTTATTAGCTTCTCAACTTCTGCCGGAAAACTGGCAGCATACATAAAGGTTAAAGCACCACCCAACGAATGACCCATTAGGGTAACACGTTTCCAGCCATATTTACGTACAATGCGACGTATTAAACAGATGCCATCCCAAAAGAGGAAATATTGCATACCTTTGGGGTAGTGTGATGATTTACCATGGCCGGGTAAATCAATACATAATACGGGAATTTCTGGAGGCATCAAGGGGCACAGGCGATCAAATGTACCACAATTATCTTGCCAACCGTGTAAGGCCAAAATGGGTTGTTTGTTGCGACTACCCCACCATTTGCCTGCAAAAAAGAAAATCATGTAATAATTTGAATTAGTTTTATATCGTGAACAAAAAATCTTATAGAGAATAACCGGCAGAACATGTGCGACAAAACAAAAGCCACATCCGTTGCCCTATTCATTTAGTATGTAGAATAAAATAGGAAAATTATTAATTAATGTCATGAAATTCATTTATTTTGCGTCATAATTAATTATCAACAACAACAAATAACAAGTAAAAGCGTCGATAAGTTCAACCGGGCCAATTGTTTTATACCCTCCACTATGAAGTGGATTTTATGCGGTCAGAAGATGATGAAATACCAAACCAAACAGAAACTCAGGTTGGAAAATTGGGCTGAGACCTAGAATTTACCATCGTATGGGAGCTATGTGGACACCTGGACTTATATTGAAAATGTTATGTGAAGAAGTCACGATCAAAATACATGTTCAGTTTGATGACTTTGTCAATATATTCTGAATATATGGTGTGTGTCGTGAGAGCTTTGGTAGCAGGAGGGACATCCATTTAGGATTCCGGGTACAATTCGCTCTCAATACGAATTGATAACATTGATATAATCGGATCTTAGTTGTGCCAGAATTTAACAGAGTTGCCTATGAAGAAGCTTCTGACTTTTCGAAATTGCAGGAAGATGTTGAAATTGTTGAAGAGACCGCCTGTTGATGCAAGGATTCGCTATCGACGATCTGTTGACGTCCGATGGAATGACGTCTTGGATGCCTTCATGACTTTATTCCTAGATTTTACCTTCTGGTGGACATAGTTGGAATGCGAGGAGATTATCGAAGACCAACCCAAAGACATGCTGAGCACTAAGATTGTCTTCATAGATTTCTGTTCCATTAGCTAAAACATCAGCAAAACCGATTTTTATTAGCAAGTTTCTCAGGTATATTGTTTCCTTTGATGCCGCAGATATAGCCATGTATTCTGCTTCTGTACTGCTCAATGCGGCTGTCTGTGGTGTTTTTGATTCGTATGATACTGCTGCGCTAGCTAAAATATTTGTGTATCCCGTATATGATCTCCTATCGTCTGAACTACTTTCCCAATCAGCGTCTGCAAAACCTTGTAACAGTATGAAGAATGTCTGGACGGGAGTAAATTGTTATATACATCAATGAATCTATACGTGATTGATATTTGGTTTCATCCACTTTGATGCAATTGGAACAATCTTGAAAATTTCTATATTTTGATCCAGGATCTAAAGGAGTGTTACATTTTCTGGTATTTTTCATATTCTCTGCCGCCAATAACTCTTTAATTATTTTCTTCTGTGATAATCGAATACGTCCAGTTGATACATTTCTTTCTATCTTCATCACCAAGAAATAATTAACTGGTCCCTTGTCAATTATTTCAAATTCTGCCTTAAGGGCAGATTTAATAGAATCAATTGTTCTCATATTGGAACATACACATATACCACTATTATATTATATTCGTCTTTCTTATTAATTACGTTGTACACTTCTCGATCGTACAACGGATAAATCCAATTTTTTTCAATGCAGTATCAAGTTTTCGTTTTTAAGTCGGTTTACTAACTTCCACGTATCATTCTACATTAACGATCCAAATTCATTTAGCATTGCATTCATCCACATATTATTTTATGGTACCGACATCGATTCTTTTCCATCTTTTGGACATATATTAGTATCTTGCGTGGTTTGGGCGTTATTTTAAAATATCCTTTTTCCTGATCTTAGAACTCTGTAATTACAAGCATAGGCTTGTTTATTTTCATCTGTCACTTCATCTACATTTCCGAAATCAAATTGTACGTTCTCAGAATTTTCACGAATTGGCACATATTTCTCTTGTTGGTATTCCAATACAACTATTTTCTCTTATGAAGGCTTTAGGGAAAAAGTCGTACTCGCTGTAACTTTCAACCGACTCTTCTACAATTTTCCTGTTTTAATGTCCAACAACCGATATGCTTTTGATTCAGCTGAATAACCTGTCATAATGCACTCAATACCTTTCGATGCAAACTTTAATTTTCCTGGTATTTTTTTCATCATAATATCTCTGCACCCGAAAATCTTTAAATTTGATACTGTAGGCTTTATTTATCTCCATATTTAAACTGGAGTTTTGCCACATAGATATTTTGTAGGACATATATCCCTAAAATATACAGCAGTATCCACGGCCTCACCGCATAAATTTTCACCTAGATTTGAATTAATTGTCATACATCGGGCCATTTCCACTAATGTGCGGTTGGCCCTTTCCGCCACACCATTCTGCTGTGGAGTATATTCATCCGTAAATTGTCTTGTAATTCGAAGATTATCTAGATTAACGGCAAATTCGGAACTAAGACATTCTTTGCTATTATCACTACGGATTGTTTTTAATTTTTTTGATGTCTGCCTTTCCGCCATTGCAAAAAACTTTATATACATCAACTTTGTTTTTTAGAAAATAATCAAACATTATTCGAAAACAATCGTCACTTAACAGAACAAAATATCTAGTTCCCCCAGCCGATGTTACTCTCATTGGACCACAAACATCCGTTTGAACCAATTCTAGAGGTTCTTTAGCACTAAACGTTGCCTCATTTGGGTCGTAGAAGGCAAAAAAGCCATTTTATAGAACCCTTTATGAGAAACAATTGTGTTCAGTGAAAAAAAACTATCAGTGTTCAATGAGAAGATCTATTGGCCTCGTATAAATCGACATATTGTTTTAATTTAAATCAGCATATTAAATTCCAAGAATAAGCCTCTGACAAAGTCCACATTATAAATCTAAGGGCTTGTTTTTTAATATATTTTGATCTGAATATAGATAACTGCCAAATAACTTCAATATTTGTTGACTCACTCCATATGTGTTATAAACGATTAGATAAAATTGTTTATAAACTATAACGATAATGTAAAAATTGTGAATAGTTCGTAGGTATATATGAGTAATTCCATGTGTTATTACTAACCTTGTACAGTTCCCCATGGTACATCAATGGTAACTTCTTCCCATGAGTCCTGATTGCGTATGGTCGGGCTACCATCTGGAAAGAAAAAAGAATAGAAATATATGAGTCACAAGTACATAATACATAGGTAATAGATTATATATATATAAATATGTGTATCATCTGTATAAAACTATTTTTTTAATAATAAAAACAAACATTCAAAAAAATCCCAGACTTGAAGTGTTGGTTTGATGGACACATTTCCATATAAACATATTAACACACATCTTTTGTTAATATGTTTTTTAGACGCATTGTTGTTGTTTTTTATTTATGTTAAACACAAGACTGTTTTGTGTGTTTGCAATTGTTTTTGTTTTACCTTCATAATGCGGAAGCTTACAAAAAAAATAAAAGAAATCTAATCTGTCTGTGACTCGGCGTAAAAAATCATTCAAAATTTCACGTTAATGGACTTTGAACTTGAACTTTTGGATGTTACCAAAAAAAACCCCCATCCACCATGCAGACATGGAATTTCAATACTCACTCGAGGCTAAACTTTCTCCACCAATCAATCCCTTTATTGTGCCATTAGTTGCATTGGCCGGGGTACTGTTGCTCACGCCATTTGTCGTTTTTGTAGCTTTATCAGTATTAGAATTTTGATTTTCCATTTTGATAGTTTACAATTTTTTTATTATGAAAATTAAATAAAAACCAAATAAAGCTATTCTTTTTAGTTATCAAGAGCAGTTATTTTTTGTTATTGGTTTTCATTAATGTTTTTCTTTATAGTTTAGTAGCAGCTGGCCCAATCTTTCAATGTTAACATAACCGCGCGAGACACAATAAAAACAACAACACTCGATATTGTAGTGCAGAGATTGGCGGAGCGCCCACGGAAGTTTCTGGCTGAAATATCGGAAGATCAAACGGCTACTAAGACCAATTTTGCTATGGTTAACAAAATAAAACAAAAAAAGCATATTGCGAAAGAAAAATTATCAATATAAACAACAGCTGTTTGTCATGGTTGCCATGGCGACGATGACAATTATGACAGTTAACCCCTTAAGGTTATTCATAAAGTATAGTACACATTAAATTAAGGAAAGAACTCTAGTTTAGTAAAAACGATCAGATTTTTCTGAAATTTTTTCCAGAGGTAGGTATTTTTACCTTAATTATGGCGATATATTCTTTTCTTGGGGGACGTACCCAGTTATTTGACCCGTAAGTTCGGGTACGGGTACCCGGTTCTACGGATCCGGTTAATATAAAATGGGTATCATTTTAAAGGTTATAAAAATACCTTTCCATTAATCCAAAAACAGATACAGCCACACATAACACCATTTTGGAAAGGGCAAATTGGGTCTATCATTTGAGTCCGGATTGGAAAGGGACTATAATGGACCCAAAACGGCATATACATTGGAACTTTTTACCGGGTTAACCTACTTTATGAGGATTTATTTGACATATATGCAAAGAAATTGACAATTGAAAACCACTGGGTTAACGAAATCCGGTTAGATGTAAACGTACTACAAGTTCGATTTTTAGTGAGTTTTTCAAAAAATCGGGGACGCTTTGAGATAACCATTATGTTTGGTTATAGTTTGAGATAACCATGGGAAGGTATTTTTATAACCTTTAAAATTATACCCATTTATTAACCGGATCCGTAGAACAGGTTATAACCGAGTACCCGTACCGAACTTCCAGGTCAAATAACCGGGTAACCGGTTACTCCCCCCCAAAAAAAAAGACAGAAAATTTCGATCGTTTTTACTAAACTAGAGTTGTTCCATTATTTGTGATATAAAAAATGTAAAACCTTGTAGATTCCTGCAGTACGGGAACAGACCATATGTTTTCAATATTATTTACTCAATGTATATACTTTTGGCAACCCTATTTTATTATTATGAAGATAAGCAACCCTAACCACAAATCAGCTGTGCAACTCATCTTGACTAGTTTTTTTAGTTTTTGGATATTTATCAGTCATTTTTCTAAGTGTAACAGAAACAACATCAAAATGATGCCCGAACCGGAAAATTGTCCTGGCGTCCAAAGTGCCAATGCTGGACTGGGCAGTGCCTGTCAAGGATGCCCAAATCAACAAATATGCAGCGATCCGAATAAAAAACTTGAAGATCCTGGAAAAGCATTGGTTACCGCAGCTATGAAAGATGTGCGTAATAAATTGCTTGTGCTGTCGGGAAAAGGTGGCGTGGGCAAGAGTACGGTTACCATGTTATTGTCGCGCTATTTGGCTCGCAGTTTTAATGAGAAAAATTTCGGTGTTTTGGATATTGATATATGCGGCCCGTCACAGCCACGTCTTATGGGTGTGGAGGGTGAAAATGTACATCAATCTGGGTCGGGTTGGTCACCTGTTGGCGTTGATGATAACATATGTTTAATGTCGATTGGTTTCCTATTGGGATCACCTGACGATGCAATAATATGGCGTGGCCCAAAGAAAAACGGCATGATTCGACAATTTTTAAGTGAAGTTGATTGGGGTCATCTTGATCTACTGCTGCTCGACACACCACCTGGTACATCGGATGAACATCTTTCAGTGGTCTCGTATCTGCGTGATGAAAACGCATCGAATTCATTAAAGGCCATAATTGTTACAACACCACAGGAAGTCTCACTGTTGGATGTACGAAAAGAGATCAATTTTTGTAAGAAACAAAATATCGAGATTTTGGGTGTTATTGAAAATATGAGCATATTCCGTTGTGGTCATTGTGGTAATACATCGGAAATTTTCCCCGCAAAAACTGGTGGTGCTCGTGCTATGTGCGAAGAGATGCAGGTACCATTTTTGGGCGCATTACCCTTGGATCCGGAATTGACTAAGGCCTGTGATAAAGGTGAAGATATAACGGCGATTAATAATGCCACAACACAAGCTTTAGAAGAAATTTGTAAAAATATTTCAAAAATTCTGTGATCTTAAGGTGAAGGTGTATGTAAATACCAGTTTTTTAATAAAATAGAAATATTGACCATTTTTTGAATAAATACTCGATAAGAATTAGATGCATATTTTTTTAGATGAGAAGCCAATTTCATCATGTTAGCAAATTTACAACCTAAATTAGTTAAAATGATCAAATTTTACTGACATTTTTTTCAGAGGTAGATACTTTTACTTTTTTATTATGGGGATATATCATTTTCTTGGAGGGCGTACCCAGTTATTTGACCCGGAAGTTCGGGCAGACGTACCCGGTTCCGGTTAATATAAAATGGGTATCATTTTAAAGATTATACAAATTGAGTGACGATAGCAAGGGGTTATCTAAAACCGTTGTGGAGATACAGTCAAAAAACTGGGGTTTGGACCCCGATTTTCTTAAAAAACTCCCTAAAAGTCGAACTTGGGTCCACTATAGTCCCTCTCCAATCCTGACTCAAATGATAGACTACAATTTGCCCTTTCTAAAATGGTGCGATATGTGGCTGTATTTGTTGTGGACCAAAAATATGAGATTTGATACTGCAGTGACCTATTATGGTCCCTATGGTTGTCTTTATCTCATTTCTGCTAATAGAAATTAATGGTTTAGATTTTAAAGTCCAATATCTAGGCTCTCCACTCCATCTTGTTGTATATTTCTACTCATAAAACTTACAATTTATTAAAAAAAAAAGTAGCTAAGGGCAGGCCTAACAGTTCTATCAATTGTTAAATCGGCTGACTGCGATCCACATAATTTTCCTCATGTCAATGAAGTCCTATATCTAGACTCCCCACTCCATCTTGTTGTTACCTTCTACTCATAAAACGAACGATTTTTTTTAAAGGAAGTAGTTAAGGGGAGCACTAACAGTTCCATCAATTGTTAAATCAGTTGACTGCGATCCACATCATTTTCCTTATGTCAATGGAACCAAACAAAGTCTATACCGCAGAACTGAACTACCCTAGAGTTTATAGTCCACGACCTGATTGGTATAAGTGCCGCTTGACTATCGACACCGGTAACGAGTCACTAGTACACAATTCCTTGACTAATTCTGCAGCTTTCAGGATTGCTGAATTATCTGCTTGTAAAACGCTACAATTATTATTTAATTTGTAGGAGTTCTTAATTGAAAATTCTTCACAGGAAACTTCCGCGTCCGTGCCTTCTTCTTTTATCTATGACAGACCGTCAAGAGGAGGAAGCAGGTTTTTCTGATATTTCCTCAAAATAAAGGTATGGGGAAATATGGTATCTTAAATTCCTATTGTGCCAGGAGATTATGAAGATTTAATATCGCATTCAGAGCAGCCTGGGGAGTGCTTCTAGGAACTCCGGATATATGAAATGCTGCCCATCTTAGCACACTGCCTACTTTGGACACAACGTTTTCTTCCTAAGGGAGGGACAACTGCATCGTAAAGTCAGTGTACGACGAGCGGTGACAGTCTCCAGGTTTTCCCTATTGAGTTCATGTAAGAGTACAGTGCTATTAGACCTTTCTTTGTACGCTCTATACGATTCTTTTCCACGATAAACGGTGATCTATGATACGGCTTAGAAGTCTCAGGCACCAGCTTCCTCTGTGTGCAAGGACATCCGACAGGTTTCTCCTTCTTTGAAGAGACTACCGTGGTGGTCTTCGTACTGGTTCTGGGGATCCTTTCAATCAAGAAGTCCCTCGCAATATCATTCGGATAGTTCCTGGAGAACTTCCGGATGAATATGAAGTTCCTCTTGATCAAAAGTAACCGTCCGATGTAGTTAACCGCTCTCCGGTACATCTTCTTGGCAGCGATCTCCTTGTCAACGACTTGTCTTGCAGTTACTGGTATTAACGATGGGAGTCTCATCAGTACCAGAATTCGCTTCGACAGCCAACTGCCTGAGTAGTCTTGCGACATCACTACAGGCCATGGAGATTGAGTTCGGATCCTCAACCTCGCCAGGGTTTACATCCCTACTCATCATCTGGGAGGACTCACCTTGCTTCGGAGGAGACACCAGGATCGCTACGGTGTTTGTCACAGTAGTGCTAATCACTGTAGTTTCCATGATGTCTGACAAGGCTGATTCGGGATGCTCTCCTGACTAAGGCGGTTTTATTTAAATTCGACTCCATAGATTGTGCTGTTTGAGAGGGATTGAGGTCAACCACGGCAAGGACTTGGCAGCTACGCCTTAATAAACTTGTTGAGGCGCCCAGGTATCAACAAGGCTCCGTTCTAATACAGTCGGGACCCTGACTACAAACCATATAACGCTGATGGGCTCGAGATACCCAATTAATAATATTGGGCTTTCCACTATTTGCAACCTGTGGACGCGTCTGTTAGCATTCAGCTGTGCTCCCCGAAGGCGGATTAGGCCATGAAACTCAAACATATAAAGGCAATTGACAAACAAACGCTTAAAAAAGAGCTGATAAAAAAGGGTTGCGTCCATTTTGAATTTCGTGATTGGTCTTAGAAAGACAGTTGGACGCTGCAACGTGTGGTGTGGTCCAAGTCCAAATGCTATACTGCCGGAGACCTGCTTGATATATTTTTGTTGATCTAGGAGTTCACGCTTACATCTTTGGATCTTTCTCTCTCTGGATCATGAAGACCTCTTCTAAGGCATGACAGGGGTGTTTCCGGCGATAACACCCAAGCAAGCACTGCAGCTTTTGATTTTGTGGCGGATATTTTTATATCCCTCAGATGGAAGAAATTTACAAGTACAACTATGTAGAAATTTAACCTCCCGCAAATGTCATCAGTAATAGGACCCGACGCTGTGCGTACAATCATCCGCATACAATACGAACTCTATGCCTTCCGGTGGTTGTGGAATTTCAGAAAGGTAGAGGTTGAAAACGACGAGCGGTGACAGTCTCCAGGTTTTCCCTATTGAGTTCATGTAAGAGTACAGTGCTATTAGACCTTTCTTTGTACGCTCTATACGATTCTTTTCCACGATAAACGGTGATCTATGATACGGCTTAGAAGTCTCAGGCACCAGCTTCCTCTGTGTGCTAGGACATCCGACAGGTTTCTCCTTCTTTGAAGAGACTACCGTGGTGGTCTTCGTACTGGTTCTGGGGATCCTTTCAATCAAGAAGTCCCTCGCAATATCATTCGGATAGTTCCTGGAGAACTTCCGGATGAATATGAAGTTCCTCTTGATCAAAAGTAACCGTCCGATGTAGTTAACCGCTCTCCGGTACATCTTCTTGGCAGCGATCTCCTTGTCAACGACTTGTCTTGCAGTTACTGGTATTAACGATGGGAGTCTCATCAGTACCAGAATTCGCTTCGACAGCCAACTGCCTGAGTAGTCTTGCGACATCACTACAGGCCATGGAGATTGAGTTCGGATCCTCAACCTCGCCAGGGTTTACATCCCTACTCATCATCTGGGAGGACTCACCTTGCTTCGGAGGAGACACCAGGATCGCTACGGTGTTTGTCACAGTAGTGCTAATCACTGTAGTTTCCATGATGTCTGACAAGGCTGATTCGGGATGCTCTCCTGACTAAGGCGGTTTTATTTAAATTCGACTCCATAGATTGTGCTGTTTGAGAGGGATTGAGGTCAACCATGGCAAGGACTTGGCAGCTACGCCTTAATAAACTTGTTGAGGCGCCCAGGTATCAACAAGGCTCCGTTCTAATACAGTCGGGACCCTGACTACAAACCATATAACGCTGATGGGCTCGAGATACCCAATTAATAATATTGGGCTTTCCACTATTTGCAACCTGTGGACGCGTCTGTTAGCATTCAGCTGTGCTCCCCGAAGGCGGATTAGGCCATGAAACTCAAACATATAAAGGCAATTGACAAACAAACGCTTAAAAAAGAGCTGATAAAAAAGGGTTGCGTCCATTTTGAATTTCGTGATTGGTCTTAGAAAGACAGTTGGACGCTGCAACGTGTGGTGTGGTCCAAGTCCAAATGCTATACTGCCGGAGACCTGCTTGATATATTTTTGTTGATCTAGGAGTTCACGCTTATACTTTGGGTCTCTCTGTAGATCATGAAGATATCTTCTAAGACTTCTGTCCATAAGGCATGACAGGGGTGTTCCCGACGATAACACCCAAGCAAGCACTGCAGCTTTTGATTTTGTGGCGGATATTTTTATATCCCTCAGATGGAAGAAATTTACACGTTCAACTATGTAGAAATTTAACCTCCCGCAAATGTCATCAGTAATGGGACCCGACGCTGTGATCGTACAATCATCCGCATACATTACGAACTCTGTGCCTTCCGGTGGTTGTGGAATTTCAGAAAGGTAGAGGTTGAAAAATTTCGGAAATATGACCCCTCCTCAGGGAACTTACTGTTTCACTCTGCATGGTTTGGACTTTTGGACAGGAGTGAAATCGGCCTGTACGATTCACCCCTGCTGGCATCCTTAACATGCTTCAGTAGCGTGGCCACATTTGCCTATTTTCCGGAGCTTATCACGTTCATTGATTCTACTTCGGGTATTCGACCAGCCGGTATGTATCGAGCGCCAGTAGTAGTTATAATTCAACGGAAATTTCTCTCAGCTACCCGAGGATCTGAGGGAATGGACAGCTCGCTGAAGCGCAAGATGTAATAATGTTCAACGAAATAACCAAGTGGTTGGTCTGACACTTTGTACATTTTAATTCTTCGTGCTGGGCTGAAATCCGCACAATTCTCTATAATGGAATTCACATCAGTGGTTATATCAAAACAAAGAAAAAAAAATAGACTGGACTTCAGAAAATATTATGTTATAAGTGTAAATATATATTTTTTATTTGTTATACGCTAAGTTTTAATAAAAAATGCAAATACCCTATGTATGTAAGTGTGTATATGTGTAATGTAAATTTTAAACAAAACCATGCTTTAAAAGAAAGGAAATAATAAATGAGAAGGGGGACAGACAAATAGTTGAATTCATATCATATTTAAACAATTTTAATAATAGACATTTATGGCAAGTGTACATTAGGGAAATAGAAAGAGAGAAAAACGAAAAAAGAAATGAAAAACAAAAAACATTTATCCCGTTCCACGGGACAAGTAATAGTTAGGTATCAGTTAGAGGTAGGTGCGGGTGTCTTAATTGGGGCAGGTTGTTTAAATGGATTCACAATGGTGGTGTCCATCGATTGACTTTGGGTCAAATCCAATTGTGTGGCCGAAAGTGCTGTACTTTCGATTTGTGGTAGGAAAGTCATATTTTGACTTGACGTAAATGTGGAACGTGTGGGTCGACTATTTTCATCGTTGCCAGTTCTAACTCCTCCACCACCCCCGGATGTTGCGGGTAACTCATCAATGGAATCATCCAGACTTACAGATTTACCAGCTAATACTGATTGTGTTGGTGGTTGTTCTTGAGTTTCCATGGGTGTCGGGGGCGCTTGGTTTGTTTGGTTCAACGGATTTAGTGTAGTATCTGCACCCACGACCATTGAATGCATAAGGTGAGCCGGTTGTGATGGCATATGTTGTGTCGCCTGGGTTTGTGTATGCTCGGGCATTTTTGGTGGCTCATTTTGTATACACACCGAATCCGTACAATCTTTTACCTTATAAATACCCACCAAATAATCGGATAGTTCAAACATATTCGATCTCAGTGAAATAATAATAAATTGAGCATTTTTGGTACGCTCCTTAATGTAGTGGGCCACAATGGAGATATTTTTAAAATCTAAGGCAGCATCAATTTCATCCATAAAATACAGGGGCGATGGTTTGTAATAATGCAGGGCAAATACCAAAGCCAGAGATGATAGAGTTTTTTCACCACCCGACAAATTTGATATGTTTTTCCAGGTCTTCTTGGGTGGCCGTACACTAAACGAAACTCCTTCGGTAAAAGGATCCATGGAATCGACCAATTCCAACTCAGCATCACCACCTTGGGTAATCATTTGGTACATTTCCTTAAGTTTACGTGTGATTATATGGAAACCAGACATAAACTCATTGTAACGTTTTTTGCGTACATCATCGTACAGCTGACGCATTTCATTACGTTTACACGTAATTTCTTCGAGAATTTTAACTCTCTCCAGGTAGACATCACGTTTCTCAATGTATTCCTGTATGCAAGATAGATTGGGTTTCTTTTTCAGCAACTCCTCTTGAACACTCTCTTTGTACTGTATATCCTGCAGTGTGTGGCTGGCCAATTCATCTTCGGTATATTTTTTGAGGGGAGTGGGAGGTTCTGTGTCGCCGGGTATCTCGTGTAATCGCAAAGGTTTCAATTGATCGCGCCAATGTGGTATTTGCGATTTAACTTCGGACATCTTGGCAGCCACGGTTTGCAACTTTTGTTCAATTTCAACACGTTTCAGCTTTAGATCACTTTCCTGCTTTTGTATGGCCAATATTTCCTTGTGTACTCCCGATGATTCCGATTTAGCCTTTTCAATAGCTTCCTTAGCCTCCTCCAGCTCTTTTTGTAGACTACAGATTTCTTCGTCGAATGCCGTACGTTTATCTGACAACTGTTTTAACTCCTCTTGGGACTTTTCAATTTCTCCATTCAAGCGCTCAATTTGAGATTCCATTTTCTTGACATTACGTTCAACATTTGTAACTTCTACTTTTAATTTTGACACGTTACCCTTTAGCTTTTTTATTTGATTATCTAAGCTGGTGATTTTTGTCTGCACTGCCTTTATGGTATCACCATGGATACCGTCGATTTTCTTTTTAATTTCGGCAATTTTCTTTTCCACTTTGCCGGCTTCTTCTTCGGCCGCTTTGAGGGTCTCGGTTTTCTTTTTAATCATTTCCTGAACATCTTCCACCTTGGATGCATCGGTCAGGGTTTGATCCATCCGTTTCTTTTGAGATTCCAACTGCTTGAAGATGCGTGGTAATTGTTCTTCCAAACTCTTGATGGTAATCGACAGCTTCTGCAGATCACCTTCGGTACGTTGATGTGTAACATTCAATTGTTGCAGTTCACGTTCCAGTCTACCCTGTTCCTCTTGATTGTAATTAATTTGTGATGATAGCTCTTCACATTTCACCTGCATTCCTTCTAAATCTTTTTGTGACACACCAGAATTGTCCAGTGATTGTCGGGTATTGGTACGCACCTTTGTACCCATTTTACCGCGTATTTGTGTACGACCACCACCAGACATTGTGCCGGATGTTTCAATAAGATCACCATTAAGGGTGACAACACGAAAACGTTTAGCACCGTAGGCTATACGTGTACCCTGTTCTAAGTCGGTGGACACCAAGGTATTACGTAGGGCAAAGTAGAATGCTGGCAGGACACGTTCATCTTCGACGCGTACCAAATCGTATAGACGTGGGGCATTTTCGGGACTGTTAGAAAAAGAAAAAAAAACTTATTACAATTTTGGACTATCAACAAAATACTTTTTAAGAACGGTGTGAGGAATATTTTTTAAATTTTAAAATTTATGTTTCCTTTTCCCAAAATGAAAAGTATTACATCCCACTACCCTAAAAAAGTTGGGATACATTTTTTTTACTTACGTGTGTATTGGACCCGATTGATTTTGTAAATATGCCACCTTTTCCAAGGCAATAAATGAGGCTCGGCCAACATCATAACGTTTCAGATATTCAATACAATTTTGAGCCGTATTGACTGTATCCACTAGAATGTTATCTAAACGTCCACATGCCGTAGAAATGGCCACGTCATATTTGGCATCAATTGCACCCAAATCACCAAGACGTCCCAAAATGCCGGGAATTTTTCCCTCAGCCTTTTGGCGCATTAGAAAATCTAAAACTTTATTATTGGAACGCATGGCTTGCATGCTAACTACTTTTTCATTTATCTGGAAAAATAAGAAAAATGATTTATTTAAATAAACTTTTTACTATATTTTTTTAATTAGCCAAACATTACCTCAGCTTTGATCGTCATAACTTGTTGTCTTAATTGTTGTTCCTCTTGTTGTAATTGTTTCAATTTCATTGTCTTCTCGTGTATATCTTTTTTCAGTTCCGGTAAACGGGCTTGCAACTCGACCACTTGTTCTTTTTTCTCGCCCAGACTTTGTTCGGAATCTTCATAGGATGATTTCAATGTTTCATATTTTCTTGTCTCGGCTGTTTCGTCACTTTTTAAAATTTTCAATTCCGATTGAGACATGGCCAAATCAGCTTTAGCTTCATCAACATTTATCTTTAAATCCATCAATTCGGTTTCAAGTTTTTCACGTTGTTCTATCAGTGGTTTCGTTTGTTCCTCCAATACCGTGTAATTACGTTGCAATTCCTCTTCCTGTTCGGCTTTTTGCTTAACTAGCCGCTCTAATTTCTTTTCACATTCTTCGATTTCTTTTTCATTCTTTTCGGGGACTTTGCGTAAATCTTCTAATTCTTTTTCATTTTTGGTCACTTGATTTTTATTGGTGTGTCGACGTTTATTCACCACAGTCATTGTCTCCTGAGTTTCAGCAAAATTTCCTTTGGCCTTTTCAAGTTTCTTTTCAATGTCTTCTTTTTTCTTGCGTAAATTATCGTGATTTCTAAAGGAGGAGGAAAAAGGACCAAATTAATAGAATTACATTAAAAAAAATTGATACAAAAAAGGTTATTTGCTGCTATGACGGAGGATTTAATATTTAATTAATAAATTGGGACGGGTCTTTTGTTTAAGAGCTATGTCAAAATTTCGACCTTTATATATTTAAAAAAATGTGGGAGAGCGTATTTTCGCTTACGAGAATCCGAATTGGCAATTTATACATATTGATTGGATAAGGAGACAATTTGAATGGGAGGCTAGGTCAATAAGTGTGGTGTTTGGCGGTACTCCTTGTAATTAAATTTAACATCATTCCCTCAAAGCCATAAACATAGTAATAATTAAAAAATAATAATAACTATAGCTTCGTATACTCACTGCATTTCTTTTTTAATAATATCCTCCTTGCCCTCACGTTCCTTACGCAATTCATCAACTTTGTTATCATGTTCCTTCAGCTCATTACTGATTTCTTCGTGCTGTTTTGTATACTCTTCCAGTTTCTTATTTTTCTCACTTAAATATTTTTGTATACGAAGATTTTTTGTACGGGTATTTTCGTTTTCTTGACGTAAATATTCAACGGCATCATTATATGGTTGTTCCAAATCTTTCATTTCACGTTCAGCCAATTTGCAGCGATTGTGTTTTTCCGTACGTTCTTCGGTCAAGAGTTCAACACGTTCGTTAATTTTTATCAATGGCTCTTTGTAGCGAGTGGTACCCACAATATCTTCTAGGTATTCCAGCATGCCACATTCACCCTCAGTCAAGCCTTTTGGTTTCATCATGGAAATGGACTCAACCTCACCCTATATAAATTATAGTATGAATATTTAAATATAATTTAAATAACATTATTTCATATTACACCCTTTTACCTGCAAGATCAAAAAACGATTATGATCCAAATCGACATGATGTTTTTTCAGCAATTTGGCCACATCCTTAAATTGTTTCCGCTTGCCATTTATCGTATAATATGATGAATTGTCACGATAGGCTGTACGTTCCACAATAATTTCACTATCGGGTATTTCTTCACAGGTACCATCCTCTTTGTCCAATATTTGGCGAAAATGTACAGCCACAGAACACATATTGACATTGGGATAACGGGCCGAATTATGGAGCAGTGTAGAGATTTTCTTACAACGAATTTTATTGGCGCGATAGCCAAACACAAACAACATAGAATCAATAACGTTACTCTTGCCGCTGCCGTTAGGACCAATGATGGCTGTAAAACACTACAAAGCAATAAACAATAATTATAACTTAATGCTATTTATCGTTAAAAACAAAGCCAGCCAGTCTGTACTTACATGATGAAATGGTCCCAGGACAACTTTGCCTGCATAACTTTTAAAATTATAATTTTCAATTTTCTTAATTATCAAACGGGGTCCTTTGCTCTCGGTGGAACAGTACGGAGGTATTGGTGGTGGTATATAAATATCACCAATACGTGTTCCACCCTCTTCATCGTCGGACATATTGGCGTCATCCAAAGCATCACCCGCCATGGGTTGTTCTGTCATTTCCACATCTTGTACTGGTGGCTGTTGCTGCTGCTGTTGTTTTTGTGGTGTTCTTAATGGAGTCTTTGTCACAGCGGCCGCAGTACCGCCACCACTTGTCGATTGTTTATTACTTAAACTACTCCGGCGTCTATCCTCATTTTCCTGTGTCAATGGTGGCCTTCGTCGAGTTGCCATAATTGCGCCTTTTTCTGTCGCACCTTAATCCTTTAACTTACAATTGCATTGAAATTTTTAACAATTATCTTTTGTTGTACTTTGTCCGTCACTTATTTGTTGTTTAATTTTTCATTTCTTTTGTCATTTAAACACAAAAATACATTTCTGCTTAATTAATTCGTTTGTTGGACAAACAATTGTCGAATTCCTGCAAACTAGGAATGTTTGACAGCAGCACAGCGGTCAAATAACGCTTGCTATTCAAATATGACAACAACAATGCTGCCAACATGTGCATGCAAAATGCAAACAAAATGCACAAATACACTGAAAAAAAAACAAAGTGAGTACAAAGTGAAGTGCCAGGGCGACATATTGAATTGTATATCAAAATCTATTACAATTAATGTATATTTTTGGTCTGTTCCAGTACTTTTTTAGTAAATCTAGTAAAAGGGAAACATTTCAAAATTGCTCTCAGAGTACAAAATAATTTGAAAAGTTCGGGAACGTAAATCTAGGAAATATGCCAAAAATAGATGGCAATACTTCAAAATCAACATAACAGCCAATCAGAAGTAGGCATTCCTGTTTACCATTTTTACTCGACCAAATTTCTCGAGTAAAAAGTTTTCAAAGAGAACGTCATTTTGCTTTGTGCTCTCTTAAATTTGAGCCAATGTTTTACCAGTTTTGTGGGTTGAGGAACGGTTTTCGAGTAAAAAGTTGCAAAACTTGAAAAATGAGTAGATTCTATTAGGTTCTAGAAATGTACTTTTAATATACTGGCCTATTTTGTGATAATGAAGGATAACAGGATGTGTTGTTGTATCATAATCAGTAACAACAACCACATGGAAATTTGCTAGTAGTAAATAATGGATATTTTACTTGAAAAATCAATTCAGAATAAAAACAAATACAACCAATTCCTTTAAGCGGTGTACACAATATCACTATTGAATGACACTCTGCTTATTGGATAGTTTGGCCTCTCATGTCAATTATCAAAGAACCACGAAAATATTGGACAGCCAGAAGAAGATTTTGTAGATGACTTGATTTTTTGACATTTGGCAAGTAAAAACTATAGAAGATTCAACGACGCATTGGAATTATAAATATTTACTACAAAAAAAAAATAGTGAAAATCTTGCAGTTGGCTATCGCATTACTAATTGAAGAAACACCTTGGAAGACTTTAGGCATGGCATGTTATGTTGCCTTTATTTAATGTAAAAAAATAAAGTAGGACGCCGTCCAAGAAAATCAACGGTACGCCTCAAATCAGATTCTTCCCTTGGATGTGCTCTTCTAGAAATCGCGAACTTTTTGGAAAATAATATTTCTCTTTGAGTGGAGATATTGTTGAAATATTCCACAGAATTAAAGTTTAGGAAAGAAGACTGCCATGCACATCGGAATCTGTGGTGGAACGATGGTGAACCAGAACCCGAAACCTACGTGAGGGATGCCTTGACTTTTGTCCTGAATGCTGTACAATGTATTGTACATTTTTTACGTAATAAAAACGCAGATCGTTTCGGGAATAATGGCCTTGATACACGAACCATCAATGCCATATGTACTGTCAAATTTGATATATATGCAAATACCGTACATGTCGTGTGGCCCATACAAAAAATTGTATCTGTTAAAACGATATGACAACACACATGTAATTTTTTAGTTTAGGGGCCGATCTATTTCTGTATGTAATTTCATATGTAAAGCACATAAATCAGCTGTTTTGTTATTTGGCAAATTAAAATAAATTGCTGATAGAAAATAACTCGAAGAAATGATGTTAAATTTTTATGTCTAAAATATTTAAACAAATTATAATATTATTTACTAATGTTTTTGGAGTAGTTCTCAATTTTTCTACCTAAACTAAAGTATGTCATCTTTTTTTATAATATACAAATTTAAATTCTTATATTTTATACAATGCTGTTTATTACTAAATATTGAATATGTGATATTAATACACTTACTTGAGTAGTTAGCCACTTGCCAAACATTGAAATATATTATTATTTTTAGAATAATACCTTCTAAGATATCATTAAGAAATCTTGTTAAATGGAGTAGTATAGTTTGCAATTTAAATGAAATCGGCCTTAATGGCTTCAAATTGCATTTTTTGGAATAAATAAATAAAAATAAAATAATTTTGTGGAAGGGAACAAATTAAAGAAAAATACTTATACACATGTGAAAAGATCCCAGAGGAACCTGAGGCAATTTTTCTGTATGAAAAGAGACCTCAGAGGGACCTGAGGCAATTTTTCTGTAGAAAAAAGAAAAAGAGACCTCGGAGGAACATGAGGCAATTTTTCTATAAAAAAAAGAACTCAGAGTCATTTACAATTTTTGTATGGTAAATGACTCAAAAGTGTGCCGGTTTTAAGAAATAAATGACGCAACTGCCCTAAATCCTGATTTTTCTACTGTATGTGAATAAAAGCGCATTCACATACAAATTGATGAACATAATTTTATTTTAGAACCAATGCAAAAATAAGTATCACAAGGAAACTTTGAGGGTCCATATCTATGAATGTATGGACTTTCACAACATTTAAATTACTTATTTAAATCAATGCAAACCCCCTTATCCAAAGTCTTAAACAACAGTTTGACATATTGCCAGCAGCCTTTGTGGGATATTTTTCACTTACCATATCGTTTGTGTCACAATAACCCTATCTGGCAACACTGGTAATGACTTGACGCGAAAAACACAATTGTCATTCCGGCTCGTCGTTTTGCAAAGACATTCAAGTGAATTTGGATATTTTGCAAACAATTTTTAATATTTTGAAATTATTTCTCTAGAACCACGAGAAACAACAAAAAATAAAACATGGAAACTATTTTGGGTATTCGTGGTCCTGATTTTGTTATGCTAGCCGCTGACACCACACAGGCACGTTCCATTATTGTAATGAAAGAAGGTAAGGAGGATGAAATGAAATTTTCGGAAGACCACAAACAAAATAATTTATTTTTGCATATTTTCTCCTCCTCTTCTGCTGCTGCTGGTAGATGAAAATAAAATCACAAAAATTGCCGATAATTTAATGTTTGCCACCATTGGCGAGTCCGGTGACACTGTCCAGTTTACAGAGTTTATTTCCAAGAATATTGCTCTGTACAAAATGCGTAATGGCTATGATTTGAGTCCCAAGTGTGCGGCTCATTTTACACGTAAAAATTTGGCTGATTATTTGCGATCCCGTACACCATATCAGGTTAATTTGTTTGTGGCAGGGTAAGTTCTGATACATATCCGGAAAATTGAATTTACATCAAGTAAAATATTGTTTTTTTTTTATTTTCCAGTTATGATCCCAAGGAAGGACCAGAATTGCATTACATTGACTATTTGGCCAATGCCAAGTCGGTAAAATATGCCGGCCAGGGTTATGGTGGTATGTTTTGTGCCAGTATCTTTGATCGCTACCACTATGACAATATAACACAGGAAGAGGCATATGATGTTTTGAAAAAATGTGTGGTGGAAATTCAAAAACGTTTGGTCATAAATTTGCCCAAATTCAATGTAGCTGTTGTGGATAAAAATGGCATCCGGGATTTGCCTCAAATCACCTCACAAAACCTAATTGGTTATAAAGCTTAGTTTCGTTTTTTAATTTTTTAAATTTAAGTGCATTCGAAATGCTTTTTCTTGAAAATTGGTGTAGAATTTGTGGTGAATTCTTATTTTGTATAGAAAAAAGGAGAAAAACAATTAAATTACAAAAAGAGATTAAAAAGAAAACAATTTTGTAAGGGTGTTTGTTTTTATTGTTACAAAAAAAAAAAGAAAAGAATTTTATTCTAACAGACTATTGTCCACTTCCTTGGGCCAATCTAAATCGATGGCCATAACATCCAATGCTAAAATATCGACGGGTTGCCCAACAAGTGAAGAAACTGATGGTGTGGTACGTCCAAATTCACCATGTACCAATTCCTTAATATAGGTACCAGCTTGACTAACCACATCTATTACTAAGACCTTTAAATTATCTTTGTGGACCCAAGCTTTCATTGAGTAAATCATTCGTGGCCGGGTGTGTAAAGGACGACGATGCAAAACTCGTATTGGAGTTTTTTGTTGTATTTGAAAACCTTCAGGCAGATCTAATTTCTTCAATATCTCTGCTGTAGCGGGGTCACGTAGTTTACACAGTGCTCTGTAATATTTTTTCTTTTGTTCCTCGCCCGATTTGATGTGTACCAACTCCTCACGTTGAACCATTTGCAGATTTCGTACAGATAATTTACACGATTTATCAATTTCACATTCCATGCGATGAGCTTCCTTAACGGGTAGGGTGGTATGCACGGAATTGGGTATTTCCAAAACAAAGGGGCGTCCCTTGCCCAGGCAGCGCACATCAACATCCTCACGGCCACTGGACATAAAAATCACTCGCGAAGTGTCTTTGCTATAAGGGAAACATTATGACTGCTAATTTCACTATTTATTGCGGGATGAAATATTGCCTCACCAAAAATACGGAGCCACTGTTCGTATAATTATCTCCTCGATACTATCCTCCATAACTCTTTTGCCATTTAACACCCAAGGTGTGTGTGATAATTCCCGGGAAATTTTACGATACCGCCCAGCCACAAACACCGTTGGCCCCGTCATCTCTATGGCATCCAATTTAAGTATATCATCAGCTTGTGGTGGTACTGTGAAATACTCCTTGAAGAGAGTATCTTTTATACGTTTTGGCATATATTGTTTATCCAAAACACCCCTTGAGACTACTTGACGTTTACTGTTGGGTGCTGTGGGAAATGCTCGATCATGTAACTGTTTCAATTTCGTTAAATTATCCTCCTCCGAACTGTGCGACACATGTATATTTATCATAATACCATTGGCATCATATCCTTTGTTAAGCTCTTTGCAAATAATTGGATTTATAATCAATTTAATGGCTTCTTTTAGCGGAACGTCAGGTGCACGTTCTTTGTCAATTTTATTTCCGAATTTATCCAACAAGGCATACCACATTGCCAGCTGTCGTGTTTGTACAATCATGGGCATTGATATGGCCACCACAATGTCATTACATTCGAATTTGTGTATGTCTGTTTGGAATATGGATTGTATTAGCTGCGACTGAAAGTTTTGTGAAAATAGACCCAAACAACAGGGACAACTTCCATGTTTTACTTTTTTACATATTGTCTCGCTATCCTCACTCTCCTCCATGGGCGCTAACTCTGGCTCATATTTTACATTGAGCTGAAATGGGAATGTTTATGAAACCCTGATTTGAAAGTTTTCCGTCTTTTTCGTCTTACCTTTTCGAAACTTTCCTTTAAATCTTTATATTCATTGCCACGTGCCTTCAGATATCTCAGCTGGCATATGGAACATACACCCAATCCTTTTAAAAAGTCCACTAATTCCTGATTTAACATTTTCAAAATCGGTTCACGTGCTACGTCCAAATGTTGCCGTCGTCGTCGTTGTCCAACAAGAGTCCAATGTTTAGAATGAGAGTGTAATGAAAGAAATGAAAAAATAGTGTAACATTAATTCATGAAGATATGATAACTTATATGTCCATTGTAAGTCACTTTGAAATGATAACACAATGTAAACGTAAACAGCTGATAGCATAGTCATTGGTTATCAAGTACCAACTATTTGACCGTTACAATTTTTTTGTGGCCCATTTATATTGACGCTTCAAGGATTTAATTATTACAATGAGTATGAAAAGAGAAAATACGGAGTACCGCCGATTCCAAAGGAATGAGAAATGCAATAAAATCATTTGCTACTCACGTTAAAATGATATCACATAACCTAAATAGACTGATTACATACGATTTGAATTTGGGGTTTTTTTTTTTAATATTTAGAGAATAATTGAAGCCATTATTGGCGTCAATTATTTGTTTAATAATACTTTTTAGGTTTTGTTTAAATAATAAGTTTTTGGTAAGCTCATGGCCCAATAAAGCCGGGTTATTTCACCCGAGCTGTCAAAATGTTTTCTGTTTTGACTTAATCGTATGAAAACCCATACAAAAATTTTGATAGTATGTCAGATTTTCAACAAAAATTTGCCGATAATATTCATTTCTTACACGACCCACTAACATTTACTCAGTAAGAATTTGCATAGAGTAAAATGCAAATTGTTGTTTTCAAGAGAGAAATTTGCAAAAAGCAAACGAACGACATTGGCGCATATAAAAAAGCAGCATTTTTATTAGAAAAATCAAACACAAGCAGAAAATTGATGTTGATTATAAATACTTGTGTTTTCTTCGCCCATTTAATAATACAAAATCAATATAAAATTCACAAAATTTGCTTGAGAACAATTGTTTCTTTACAAAACATAACATAACAAACATCTGATTAAATATCAGCTGATGGTACATACAAGAAAATTCTTACTGAGTAAACATGGTATAATAATAGAAGGTAACAGCAAGTGTTGTTGTACAAAAAACGATACAACAACACAACTGTCAACTCATTTGACAGAAAAATGTAAACAAACAAACAAATTATCATTAAATTATTTTTATTTTGAAAATGAAATATTTTATCTCAAAATAAAAATTTAATGAAAATCTATCAAATTTATATTTCTATCGCTTCCACATCTTTCCTATAATTGAGCCATCGCCATATATATGTGTAACACATATGAAAATGCAGGGAATATTTCATAATAATTTGTATAAATTACGGGAGCACATTTAATAAAGAACAATTACAAATTGTATGCGTTCCCAATTTTCCTGTTGGGTGATTTTTAAAAACATAATTTGTCAAATTCATATTGACACTAGTATTACGTTGGAATTAAATCAGCTGGGACTTGCTGTTACCTTTTATAATTGTACCATGCTGAGTAAATTTCAGAAACACAACTGTCAAATCTGCTCTATCTCAATTATTTTTCTGGACTTTTGGGTAAACGAACAATATTTCATAATAATTTGTATAAATTATTGAGTAAACGAACGAACCTAATTTTTACCGATCTTCGGATTTCTTGACACATACTGAGTTCTTTAGCCCTTAATGGAAAATCGGAAAGGATTACCCATAATAGAATATAATTAAACTAGTCTAGTTTAGATACCGGTCGGGGATCATTTTGAAATTGTTTACTACAGATAATCCTATGGGTTGTATACTTTCTTTTGTAGTGGAAAACCATGTTTCCGGTATTATGAGTTGGAGTTCCATATTTTCCGCTGGGCCCCTTGTATTTTCTCTTGCTTTTTTAAATTATTTAAGACAATACGCGTATCAATTGAAAGCGGTTGAAGTCCAGATTATAAAAATGTAATTATTTTAAAAGTTTCTTCCCATGACATGGGCTTGCGAAGTTCGGTAAGTATTTTCCAACATTGTTATTGTATTTACTATTGACCAAGACCATATCGTTATATTTTTAAAGTGAATAATTAAATAAACAATGGAATAGTTTTAGTGGGTGATAGGATCCTATTTACATCAATTTCCGGTGATATAGATTGGAGGTTCATATCTTACGATGGGAACAATGTATTTTCTCCTGCTTTTTTTAATTCTCTAAAGGAATATGGGAATCAATTGAAGTCCAGATTACTATAATAAAATTATCTTATTGATATCTATCCGTGATAGGGGCCTAAAAAACTTGGGTATATACGTTTGAAGGAAGCAACGAAGCAATACAGCAGTGAAAACTTTGGATAACTCCGTCCGCCGATATCAGCAGAAGACAACAGCTACCGAGACAAACTAGGGTGGTGTTGGTCGCACTGAAATCAGGTTGGTTTTATTGCCGCAATTCGTATTGGGCTCGAAATTATGGAATGGTACAAGACATGTCCGTCTGTTGAAATCATGTTAGAGATCACAAAATTTATAGATAGAGCTCAGAAATTTTGCACAGATATTGCTAGGTCCACGTTTTGGTTATGTCCCCATATACCGCTACCCGCAACATTCGGTATTTTTGGAATTTTGGGTAAGTTTTCCGAATCTGCTGTAGTTTTGTATATACAATTTTCCTAATCTTCCTACTAAAAATTATCAAATGGTAACTCCTATAATTCGAGGAAAATCAACAAAACATCAATAATTATGTGCCATTTTTTAGTATATTTAAGGTCCTATCATAGCCAGAGTGTCTGTATGTTGGTATTTCGTTTTCCAGGGGGAATCAAGGTTAACATAGGCATGTTAAGAATAAAAACGCCAATACGCGAAAATGTGTGAATAAAATGTAAATAAAATTAGAGGCCTGCACTCAAAATATGTATTTTCATTTTATAAGTTGATATAGCATTAAAAACGTTTAATATTGTTCTCTCTGTTGTTATGATATTAACAACGGAAAAGCCATCTGTTGGAAATTGCTAACGTATCAATTGTCCTATCTTTATACTTTTATGTCTTTGAAACAACTACCTAACTTCTGGACATTATTGGAAAATACATTTTTCTACAATATTTAATATATGAAAACTTCCTCTATCGATATAAAGGGGTTGTTCTGTGAAATACTTTAAACACTTTTTTTGTATTTGAAAGAAGGGCCTTTTAAAACCTAATCCAAACAATTTGTTTTCTATTTTGATTTCAATTGTTATTAACAATATCTTATCAATTAATTTAACTGAAGTAGGTTAGGCAATGATGTTATGTTTGATAGTTAATCAAGATATTAGGTTCTGCATTGTCACTGTGATGTCTTGATAAATAATACGGTGGGTCAGCAACAAAATGCATATATGTTTTGAATACTATTTTTTTTTTGGAAATTTTATAGTAACTATGTTTATGCGTAAAAGGAAAAGACTTAGGCAATCGCTGATTAGTTGTGGGGAATAAAAAATCATGATTTTTAGATTTCGACAAAAGGTGACAGTGTGTCTATACTTAATTGTGTATTGATCATAAGTTATTTTGAAGAAATTCTTGTATATAAATTTTCTTATATCTGTACTAATTCCAACATTTAGGTAATTTGTTATTATTATTTTTTATTAAAACCTGTCCTTATTTATAACAAAACTTATCAATAATAAAAACTAATATTTAGATATATATTTCTATTATTCATTATTGTTTCTTAACTTTTGTCTTTGTTTTATCCTTGGCAGTATTGCAGGAATTTTTCTTGAAAATCTTACGGAACACTAAACAAAATACAAATCGAAAGATTCTATACAAAACATAAACGACGCCCAATAAAATAGCGTAGACATCTAAATTATTGCTTTCAATGAAGTTCATATGGACCAAAGGACTTTGCATATGGGCAGCACCACGATGACGTATAACATATTCCAGCCAAAAGGCGGCATTTTCTCGCGCCGACAATGGACGATCACGATAGAGTTGGGAGAATTCTTTAACCTTTTTAGTATACACCGGATTATTTAAAACTTCCAAGAGATTTTCACGTAATGTTTCTTCCGTCAGCGTGTTCAATTCCAATTTTCTGCCATAACCAGCTTTTACGACTTTCTGGGCATTGCCATGCTGATCGGCAAAGACGGGCAGAGCCAACATTGGAACGTCATGATATTGGGCCTCAACAACACCACCTTTACCGGCATGTGTTATGAAAAGACGCATATTACGATGCGCCAAGATATCATCCTGTGGCATCCATTTCTTGTAAAGGATATTTGGTGAGTTTCCAGGAGTATGTTCTAAATCTTCCCATTTCCAAATAACTTTTTGCTTCAATTTTGACAGGACATTATAAATATAGGTTGCTGTTTCAGGTTTGATGCTGGAACCCTTAAGGTTTGAACCCAAACTGAAGAGTATGGCACCGTGTTCATTGGCACCATCAAGGAAATCGGCAATGTCCTGAAAAGAAAACAAAAAATGAAATAGATTTTTTTAATATTCAAGTAAGTTGATAACGAAATTTTATTATCTGTATGCAAAACACGAAGGTCTTTGTAGAGAAGCTGTATGGCAGTTTAAATGGAACCAGTTGAAAAAGATTTTCCGATTAAATGAAAGGAACCTTAATGACGAGCTGAAGGAAATCATTATAGATGAACTGAAGGGAGTTTTTATATACAAAATGAGGTGAGTCTTTGCTGGCGATCTGGAGATGGTCTTTATAGGCGAGCTGAAGGAAATCTTAATAGACGAGCTGAAGCAAGGAGTCTTTGTAGACTAGCTGAAACATGGATTCTTTATATATGAGTTGAAGGGAATTGAAGGGGGTCTTTATATACAAGATTAAGGGAACTGAAATGAGTCTTTATATTGTCGAATACCTTATATACGAGTTGAAAAAAGAGTATAGACGAGCTGATGGGAGTCTTTGTAGACTTACTGAAAGGATACTTATAGACGAGTTGAAGGACGATCTGAGAGGAGTCTTTATAGACGAACTGGGAGGAGTCTTTGCAGACGAACTGCAGGGCGTCTTTATAGACGAATTGAAGAAGTGGTTTCTTATAGATGAGTTGACGGTTGTCTTTATAGACGAGCGTAAAGGAGTCTTTATTAACGAGCTAAATATCAGGCCGTCTTTATTTACGAGAAACTGGCAGGGAGTGTTTGTAGGCGAACTGAAAGGAGTCTTTATAGACGAGCTGAAGCAAGGAGTATCTATAGTCGACCTGAAACAAGGAATACTTATAGAAGAGTTAAATGGGAGTCATTATATATATGAAAGAAAGGGAGACATTTATTAACCCGCTGAAATCAGTCTGTCTTTATTTACAATCAACAGACAGGGCGTATTTGTAGACGAGCTAAAGGTAAGGAGTCTTTATAGACTAGCTAGTTGAAACGTCGAACTCCCATCCTGTTCTTTGGAGAAGATTTAAATTCATTTTTTAATGGCGGGATGAAGGTAGTCATTAGAGACGAACTGAGGGGAGTCCTTATAGATGAGTTAAAGGCAAACATTTTTTGTATATAATCAAATGCTGGGAGTTGTTATAGACCGTGGTGGATTTTTGTTAAGAACATCTGCATGGTATTGGACACCTCATACGCGTATATAACATATTCCTTCACGAAGTTTTGGCTCATGACATTATTGAGTATATGGTCCCCTTTTTATGTTCACTTAAGCCACTGCATATTTACGAAACTTACCTTTGGTAATGGATCAGGTACATCCTTAACTTGTATACCACCAATCTCCACCAAAGCCGGTACATTTGGTCTTATGGGACCTTCACTGAAGTGACCATTAACCAAAACCAACGAAACATTTTTCATCATATCCTTAAGGGTAGGGAAGTTGCCATCGTTAGGGAAGAGTTCGCAAAAAAATGAATAGATATTTTTGTTAGTTATTATTTTTTAAAGGAAGTTTTAATTTTATTATAATTAATATAACTCTCTTATAAAATCCTTCCATTTTAATATTCAATATCGACATAACAATATCCATGAATCCATTCATAAATATATTTTGAATTCTCTGGAGCAAGGTCATCTTCTCACCAATTTTTACGGCCATATTCATATTGGGTACATAGGACACTTCAGTGGGATTGCCAACAAAGCCATCTATTGTAGACATAGTTGGCGCTGACCAACTAATCGCTAGTGGTGCCCTAAACTTTGCCGCCGTTCCCAATTGAAAGGTATTGAAAAAGAATCCAATAACAACTAAATCAAATTGTGGATTATCATAGAGTGTTGTAAAGCGTGGATCCTGTAAGATGTCCTTTTGCATATCGATCAACAGACGCAGTGAGCCAAACATATTCGATATTGTTGTAAAGATGCTTTTCTTTTTCGATGCCATGCCGGTTACTTCACGATTCAGTAATTCTTCAGTTTCAGGAGATGGCGGAATAAGAATGATATTAATATCTTTGTGGGTAACTTTGGGTTTTTGTGTCAACACCACGGTAACATTATGACCACGTTCGGCCATTACTTTCATCACCGACATATGGACAATCAAATGCGATGGTCCGTGACTTGTAAAAATACCCAAAATATTGGCTCCATTTGTTGGGGATATTTGCAGTGATAAGCTGGCGATCACAACCACTAGGCCGATCAGTGTCACTTTTGAATGTTCCACCATGTTGACGACGTAATGAGTGCGTCTTTACCGGCCGAATTGTAGTGAAAAACTAAATAAACACTTTCGAATTTAAAATGCATGATGAGGTGGTTATGTTTTTTATATAAAGTCAAGAGAAAAATATATTGTTTTTCGCTTGTCATTCGGTGTTCATATCTTCCGTATCGAATGAAATAACAAAAAACCAAAATCGATTATCAATGTGCTATATGGCGGCTATAATGTTTATGTCTGATTAGAAAAAAAAAAAACATATATACCCTGCAAACAACAACAATGCATTTGTATGTGACCTATCCAACAAATTTATTATAGAAAAACACGGGTATGGTCGAAATTTGTATTCCCCGGGCAAGTAATTTCTGTTGAATTAGTTCCCGCTTTTTTAAGTATTGTGATATTTTAAAAGGTTCAAAATTGTTTTTATTATTTTCAACTATATAAAAATATGTTATTAATTATAAAAAAACGTATCGAAAAAATAACAAAGTAATTACATATGTACATTTATTTCTATTATTTATTGTTTCTTAACTTTTTTCTTTGTTTTATCTTTGGCAGCATTACAGGATTTTTTCTTGAAAATCTTGCGCAACATCAAACAAAATACCAATCGAAAGATTCTATACAAAACATAAACGACACCCAATAGAATGGCGAACACATCTAAATTATTACTTTCAATGAAATTCATATGGACCAAAGGACTTTGCATATGGGCAGCACCACGATGACGTATAACATATTCCAGCCAAAAGGCTGCATTTTCCCGCGCTGACAATGGACGATCACGATAGAGTTGGGAGAATTCTTTAACATTTTTACTATACACAGGATTATTTAAAACTTCCAAGACATTCTCCCTTAATGCTTCCTCGGTCAATGATAGTAATTCTAATTGTCTACCATAACCTGCTTTTACGACTTTCTGGGCATTGCCATGCTGGTCGGCAAAAACGGGCAAAGCCAACATTGGAACACCATGATATTGGGCCTCAACAACACCACCTTTACCGGCATGCGTTATGAAAAGGCGCATATTACGATGTGCCAAGATGTCATCCTGCGGCATCCATTTCTTGTAAAGGATATTTGGTGAGTTTCCAGGAGTATTTTCTAAATCTTCCCATTTCCAAATGACTTTTTGCTTCAATTTTGACAAGACATTATAAATGTAGGTTGCTGTTTCAGGTTTGATGCTGGAACCCTTAAGGTTTGAACCCAAACTGAAGAGTATGGCACCGTGTTCATTGGCGCCATCAAGGAAATCAGCAATGTCCTGAAAAGAAAAAAGTTAATACATTTTATTAGTAATCAAGTAAGTTGTTTGTTGATTTTAAAAATTAATAAGGTCTTTATAGAAAAGCTCGAGTTGAGAAAGATTTTGAGTTGAGAAAGCTGAAAGGAGTTCTTATGGACGAGCTGAAGGGAGTTATTAAGGACGAACTGAAGGGTGTCTTTATAGACGAACTGAAGGAAACTTAAAGGAGTCTTTATAGACGAGCTGAATAATGGAGTTTTTTATAGACGAGTTGAAGGGAGTCTTTGTAGGCGAACTGAAATGAGTCTTTATATACGAGCTGAAGCAGGGAGTCTTTATAGACGAGCTGAAGCAGGGAGTCTTTATAGACAAGCTGAAGCAGGGAGTCTTTATAGACGAGCTGAAGCAGGGCGTCTTTATAGACGAGCTGAAGCAGGGAGTCTTTATAGACGAGCTGAAGCAGGGAGTCTTTATAGACGAGCTGAAGCAAGGAGTCTTTATAGACGAGCTGAAGCCGGGAGCCTTTATAGAAGAGCTGAAGCAGGGAGTATTTAAATAAAAGTTTGAAGTCTTTATATATGAACGAATGGGAGTCATTTATTAACGAGCTGAAGGTCAGGATATCTTTAATTACAATCTACAGGCAGGACGTCTTTATAGACGAACTGACGTAAAGGACACTTTGTAGCTGATCTGTAAAGCAGGTAGTTTTTATAGACTAGCCTGTGGGAACACTTATAACAGAAATTATGGGGATCTTTACAGACGTTCTGAAATTAATATTTTAAAGGCGGGATGAACTGATGACAGTCTTCACTGAAGAGTTGAAGGCAAGACATATTTATATACGATCTGATGCTAGGGATTTTTATAGACCGAATAAAGAGTAATAAATCTTTTTGTCGTGCTGAAGAACAGATACATTCAGAAGAGGATCATAGGGACTAGAGTTGAAGAAAAGCTAGAAATAATCAACGAAATTAATAATGGAAACTGAACCAAATATTCGCAGACGATAGGAAATGCATGAAGCATTTTTATACGATCTAAATAACGGGGTAGGGAGTCCTTATAGACTGAGCAGAACGGAGTTTTTATAGAAGACCAGAAAGAGTCGTTTTCGGAAACGACTTGAAAAGGGTGGAGTCTTTATAGCCGACGGACAATATATAAATATTTAACTGGTTTAGATGACCTGAAGCAGGTCAAAAGAACAGATTATATAAAAAAGTCGAGGGGAGAAGTTGAGTATTTACTGAAGAGTTCAAGGGAAAATAATGTATGATTTTCTATGCGAAGTTCTAAAGAAGTCGTCATGGTCTTTTATGTGCTAGACCGTTTTGGTATTTTCAAAGACACCTTTTGGTTTTAGTTTATGAAGGCTTCCAGATTTGCTATTCTGCTTTATAAACACCACTTTGTTTTAGAGGACCTGAAGCAGGATACAAGAACATATTATTTAAATAAGATGAGGGAAGAATTTGAGTTTTATTTGAGTTGAGAGAAAATAATGTATGATGTTCTATGCGAAATTCTTCATTGCTTTTATTAGAAGACATCTTTTTTTTGAGGATGAGTATTTTCAAAGACACCTTTGGGTTAAGTTTATGAAGGCTTCTGGTTTTGCTATTCTTCTTTATAAAAAGCAATTTGCTATTGGGCATATTCGCGCGCTTTAATTGAAATTCCTTCTGTCTTTTAGTCGATGGCCGTCTTGAGTTTTTTTCACTTAAGCCTTTGTACATTTTCAAAACTTACCTTTGGTAATGGATCAGGTACATCCTTAACTTGTATACCACCAATCTCCACCAAAGCTGGAACATTTGGCCTTATGGGACCTTCACTGAAGTGACCATTAACCAAAACCAACGAAACATTTTTCATCATATCCTTCAGGGTGGGGAAGTTACCATCATTGGGAAATAGTTCACTAAACAAAAAAAGAAGAAATTTATTAGTTAATAATTTAACAAAATAAGGACAGGTTGTCAAAACCATTAAAATATATAAAAATATGAGGGCTTCGATATAAAAAAATAAATATGTACATAATATTTTAATATATATTTTTTTTGATAACTCACCTATAAAATCTTTCCATTTTGATATTCAATACCGACATAACAATATCCATAAAACCATTCATAAATACATTTTGTATTCTCTGGAGCAGGGACATTTTTTCACCCGCTTTTACTGCCATATTAATGTTGGGTACATATGCAATCTCCAAGGGATTGCCAATTAAAGCATCTGTCATAGCCATAGAAGGCCCTGACCAACTGATGGCCAATGGTGCCTTAAACTTTGCCGCCGCTCCCAATTCGAAGGTATTGAAAAAGAATCCAATAACAACTAAATCATATTGTGGATTATCATAGAGTGCTGTAAAGCGGGGATCCTGCAATGCATCTTTTTGCATATCGATGAGCAGACCCAGTGAACCGAATATATTTGATATGGTGGTGATGAAGCTATTCTTTTTCAATGCCATACCGGATACTTCACGATTTAGTGACTCTTCATTTTCCGCGGATGGTGGTATTATAATGACATTAATATCCTTATGAGTTACTTTGGGTTTTTGTGTCAGCACCACGGTAACATTATGGCCACGTTCGGCCATCACTTTCATCACCGACATATGGACAATCAAATGCGATGGACTGTGGCTAGTAAAAATACCCAAAATATTGGCTCCATTTGTTGGTGTTATTTGCTGTGATAAGCTGGCGATCACAAAAATTAAGCCGATCAGTGTCGTTAGTTTCGTATGTTGCCCCATGTTTGAAGCGGCGTGGCGCGCGGTTTGTTCTTTCCGCGTCGAGTCGTAGCGAAAAACTAAATAAACTCTTTCGAATCTCCTCAATTGAATGTTGTGTGCCCGGGTTTGTTTTTTTTTTTTTGTTTGTCCATAAAGTCAAGTGAAAAAGGTTGTTGTGATTAAGTCACTTGGTGGTCATATCTTCCGTCGCGACGTATCTTGATGGTACGCTATATATGACTTCGAATGAAATAATAAAAAAATTTAAAACGTTTATCATTGTAATTCAGATAGGTGGGAAATGTTATAGAACTACCTACAAAATTTAGGTTTTGTAAAAGATTAAGAGGTATTATTTTTATGTGTTCCAAAATAGTGTGAAGTTTATTTCAAATTTGTCATTGCCTTCGTAACACCTTAAAATATTCGTCGGAGACCCCATGAAGCATATATATTTTCTCAGAATAAAATGATCAGAATAAAATTTACTTCTGCTGATTAGAATAAAATTCTGCTATGTCGATCAGAATGAAATCCTGTGTATCGTATGCCTAATTCTAGGGTATCCATAGATCGATCATGCCGCCAATAGCCTTGTAATGTATCAATACTATAATTCCAAAATAAATATTTTTCTAAATTCTCAAGTTAATTACTTAATTACATGTTTTCAAAACGAATATGCAGTGCACTGCGTAGTCGAACATTATAGCAGACTCTCTTACGATCAATCGCTCACTCGCTCTCTCCCATCTCGTTTATGGTCAGTGAGCATTCTAACCGGCCTAACAGTAGTAGTAGTAGTCGTAGTAGTTTATCTTATCTTCATTATTATATATTGTTGTTGTTGTTGTAGTTTTAATTATTTATTCAATACTTGTTGTCAATAAGAAATTCATCGATTGTATTCTTATAACTTGCACAATTGTTGTTGTATGCTTGTTCGTCTTGGTGACTTTAGAGATTTAAGACGCATGGATATGATTATGAGTTTCACAATTCTCATACAAATTAGCAAAGAGATTTTTGTTTTAGATTTTTTTTAAACAGTGCATGCGACAGGTGGGAATTGTATTTATCGTTGGACGACAATTCTTGGAAAAATGATTTGTTTTTTTTTGTTCTTATTCGATAGATAAACGGCCTACTGTGTTCGATAACGACCGACTGGTGTGCTATTATCGGCTTGTATATACAATTCGGTTTTTTAAATATTACATTCTCACTTATAGTTCTAATAAGAATTAAGAGAGTAATAGTCTTAATAATGGAGAGTAAATTACAAAAATTAATCAACGATTAATCAACAATTTTTTTATAAGAGAGTGAATGGGAATATTTTTGGAGAGCTAGAGGCAGTCTCAAAAAGTCTTCTTTAGATTAAATGGGTAACGATTGCTTATACGAGAGGAAGACGAAATTAATTATAAGACAAAATAATAAACAATCTTTAGAGACAAGCTAAAGGAGTCGATCTGAAACAGGGAGTGGATCCTGAATAGAGGTGGAAAAGTCATTATAGAAGAGCTGGAGGGATTTTTTATAGACGAAATTAATAATAAGACAAAATAATAAACAATCTTTAGAGACAAGCTAAAGGAGTCTTCATAGACGATCTGAAACAGGGAGTGGATCCTGAATAGAGGTGGAAAGTCATTATAGAAGAGCTGGAGGGATTTTTTATAGACGAGTCGGAGGGAGTTTTTATTGACGAGTTGGAGGGATTTTTTTTTTACAGACGAGTTGAGGGGAGTTTTTATAGACGAACTGAAGGATGTCTTTATAGAGGAGATAAAGGGATTCTTTATATACAATCCTTATATACAAGCTACTGGGATTCTTCATATAAAAACTGAAGCAGGGAGAGTTTATAGTTGAGCTGAATGGAGACATTATATATATGTGCTGATGGGTCTATAGGTAAGCTGAACTGAGACGACCTGAACGGAGTCTTTATTGACGGGATGAATGGAGCCTTTTTTAGACAAAACAAGGGGAGTCTTTATATACGAGTTAATAGGATACTACATAGACGAGTTGAAGGGAGTCTTTATACTTACTTTACTTACTTAGCTGGCTTGTTACAGAACGGTTGTTCCATAAGCCGAGTTTAAAAAAGATTTCCAAGCGCGTCGGTCTTGTGCGCAAGTCCACCAATTTGGAAGACCACGTTCCAAGATGTTGTTTTCTACTTGGTCTTTCCATCTAATTCGTGGCCTTCCCCTTCTACGGGAACCATCAGTAGGCTCATTTTTATATGCCTTTTGAGCTGGGCATTTTCATTCATCCGCACAACATGGCCTAGCCAACGTAGTCGCTGCAGCTCAATACGACTAACTATGTCGATGTCCGCGTATAAATTGTAAAGCTCGTGGTTCATTCGACGCAGATATTCACCGTCGACGCAGATTGGCCCGTAGATCTTTCGGAGAATTTTCCTCTCAAACACCCCAAGAGCTGCCTCATCTGCTTGCGCAAGTACCCATTCTTCTGATCCATATAATAGCACGGGTAGTATCAGCGTCTTGTAAAGTGTGAGTTTGGTCTGGCGGGAGGTGGCATTGTTTCTAAACTGCTTAATTAGACCATAGTAGCATCTGTTGGCCATCACAATCCTTCTCCGAATTTCAAAACTGATGTCATTCGTTTTATTTATGGCTGTACTAAGGTATACAAAGTCTTTAACTACCTCGAAGCTGTAGTTCTCAAGTTCCACAGTTGGTCTGAGTCTACTGGACGTCTTGCGCGTTGATACCAGCAGCTTGGTCTTCACGCCACTTACTGCTAGACCCACTTTGGGAGACTCCTTTTCAATTTGTTCAAAGGTGGCTGTTACCGCTCGCAATGTTCGACCCATTATATCGATGTCATCGGCGTAGGCGAGTAACATGTGTTGTTTGGTGTACAGAGTGTCAATTCTGTTCACCTTTGCGTCTCGTATAGCCTTTTCCAGTAGGATGTTAAAAAGATCACACGACAAACTGTCACCTTGTCTGAATCCTCGTTCGGTATTGAAGGGCTCCGATAGGTCCTTTCCTACTTTAACTGCTGACCTTGTGCCACTTAAAGTTATCCTGCATAGCCGTATTAATTTTGCAGGAATGCCGAACGCAGACATGGCTTTAAACACCTCTGAACGGATAGGGCTGTCGAATGCGGCTTTATAGTCGACAAATAGGTGGTATGTGTCGATGTGTTGTTCGTGGATCTTTTCCAGGATTTGGCGCAGAGTGAAAACCTGGTCAATGGTGGATTTGCCAGGTCTGAAGCCGCATAGGTATGGTCCGATGATGTCATTGACCATTGGCTTCAATCTTTCACACAGCACACTGGATAGCACTTTATATGCGATGGGAAGGAAACTTATTCCTCTATAGTTGGCACATATCGTCTTGTCTCCTTTTTTGTGCACGAGAGTCTTTAGGGAGTCTTTATAGAGTCTTTAATTAGAGCTGAAGGCAGGGGGTCTTTAAAGTGGTTTTTAAGGACGAGCTGAAGCAGGGTGTATTTGGGGAATCTTTATAGACGAGCTGAAGTAGGGAGACTTTATAGACGACCTGTAGGGAATCATTTTAGACGACCTGAAGTGGATCATTTTAGGCGAGTTGAAGGTAGTTTTTTGTAGGCAAGCTGAAGTGATTCTTTGTAGACAAGCTGGAGGGACCCATAATAGGTGAGAAGGGGACAGTCTTTAGAGATGAGATAGAAGGAGTCTTTATATACAAACTGATGGGGACTTTATTGGCGAGCTGAAGAGAGACTTTTTATACCAGTTAAAGGGAGTCTTTTTAGGCGAGCGGAAATAGTTTTTATAAACAAACGAAATGGAGTCTTGCCGAATATAGTCTTTCAAATCGGAAAAACTGCGCAAAAGACCAACGCACCTTAAAATCTTTTTTAAGCTCGGCTTATAGAACAAAAGTTCTGTCACAAGCCAGCTAAGTAAGTAAGATGAGATGAAGCAGTTTTTATAGACAAACTAAATGGAGTCTTTAGAGATGACCTGGAGGAAGTCTTTGTAGACAAGCTGAAGCACTGAGTCGTTATAGACGAGCTGAAGAGTGAAGCTGAATCAGGGAATCTTTATAAACAACTGAAGCAAATGTTAAGCAGAGTGGCTTTATAGACGATTAGAAAGGAGTCGTTATAAAGGAGAGAAGGGAGTCTTTATAGACGAGCTGAAGGGAGTTCTTATAAAGGAACTGAGGGAATTCGTTATAGACGAGCTGAGGGGGATACTTTATAGACGAGAGTAAGGAGTCCTTATAGACGAGACGGAGGGAGTATTTATGGACAAGTTGAAAAGAGTCTTTGTGGACGATCTGAAGGAATTTTTATAGGCGATCTAAAGGAGTCATTATAGACCTTGAGAAGTGAGTCTTTATAGATAAGCTGAATGAAAAAAATTCAGCCGATCTGAAGTGAGGTTTATAGGCGAGTGAAGAGTGCATTTATAGACAACCTAAAAAGAGTCTTTTCTGATCAGACCATGGGAGTTATTATAAACGTGCTGAATGAAGTATTTTAGACGAGCTTTATATACGAAATGAAAGAGTCCTTATAGGCGAGCTGAAGGGAGTCTTTATAGACGAACTGAAGGGAGTCCATAGGCGAGCTGCATTTATAGACAACCTAAAATGAGTCTTTACTCATCAGATGATGGAGTTATTATAATCGTGCTGAAGAAGGTATTTTCGACGAGCTGAAAGAAGTTTTTATACACGAAATGAAGGAGTCTTTATAGACGAGTTAAAGGGAGTCTTTATAGACGAGTTAAAGGGTGTCTTTATGGACCAGCTAAAATAAGTCTTTATAGATGTAGTGGAGGTTGTATCTATAGACGAGCCTTTGTATGCTAGCTGAAGGGAATCTTTATAGGCGAGCTGAAGGGTGCACTTATTGTTATATCCCTAATTATATATTAATGTATATTGGCAACTATGTGTAATTGCCATACAGTGGCAATACTATAAATCAAATGTCATTCTATTCAATATTCATATTCTATTCTCATAGTCTGTAAGTCACGATAAAAAGTGTAACATGAATTCCTTAATAAATAAGTATACATAAGAACGCGTGCAAGATATTTTCAATTATTCAATAATCAGAGTCTACTTTAAGCGACCATTTTCAACTCAACATTTATAGACAAGCTGAACGGGTCTATATATACGAGATGACGGGCATTTTTAGGGCTTAATAGTACGTTTACATTTAACCGGATTTCGTTAACCCAGCGGGTTTCAATTGTCAATTCCTTTGCATATATGTCAAATAAATCCTCATAAAGTAGGTTAACCCGGTAAAAAGTTCTAATGTATATGCCGTTTAAGGCTGTATTTATAGAAGAGATGAAGGCGTATTTATAGACGAGGTTAAGGAGGCTTTCTAGACAAGCTGAAGGGAGTCTATATAGACGAGTTGAAATGAATTGGTGAGTCTTTATAGTCGAGCTAAATGCGAATTTATGGACGAGCTGAAGCGAGACTCTATAGAGCTGAATGAAGTGAAGTTTAGAGAAGCGTGTATCTTTTAGATACACGGCGAGCTGAATGGAGTCTTTAAAAACGGACTGAAGAGAAAGAAAAAATATCCCCATCGACCTGCCTTATCATACTAAACTGATAATTAACCACATTGAAATAAAGAAAAAACGACTATCTTCGATAGCAAAATTTTCAAACATATATAAATATGTACATCTGTTTTATTACTTAAACACAATGACTTTGTATAAAAAATTTACTTAAAAAAATACTATTTACAAACAACAAGAAATAAAAATAAAAAATCGATAACTCTAATCACTTTTTCGACTTTCTTTGGTCAACAGCTATCGGATTTGCTGCGGTCCTTAGCAACTGTTTGTTTTGTCCAATAATATGTTCGGCAAATGATATCTCCCGCAATTCACTCTTGAATTCTTCAAGAGTTTTCAAAAATACTTCATTCAACTGTGGCAATATACCATGATCCAGAGTTGGGAATAAATGATGCAGACTATGTTCACCGAAATGTGTTAAGCACATAAATTGTGAACTTTTAATATCACCACGATCGATTATGGTATCCAATTGATAAAGGCCCCAGTCACGATTTTCACGCAAGGCATCACCATCATGGACGATTTCCGGGGTATGATGGGAGGCATTCAATCCAATTAAACCGAAAATAAAACTGGAGATGGCCAGAATGCGCAACCATTGAATCAGGACAGTTAAGGGTGATGCCTGGGAGACTACAAGCATCAGGAGTGGTATGGTAAAACCAAGCACATCATGCCAATATAAGACATTTTTGGCGAACAACGAATTAATGACTCTGTGGAAGAGAGAGAGAGAGAGAGGGAAGGAAATTAGAAAAATATTATTGGAATATCCCAATCTAGATTTACTTACCTCAAGATAAAATGAAATGGAAATATCATAGCATAGAACACGGGTTGTATTATCACCGATATAATACGCCGTCCCATTGAAGCAATGTGTGGATTTGGAATCCAACATAAAAATGGTTCGAACAGGGACATTTCCAAATCATGTAACGAATTGGTATAGACATGATGTGACAGGGCATGTGAAATCCGCCATTCATTAAAATTCATCAGGGTCAAGTTGAAGGTATACATTTGCCAATTATCCCGTTGATGAAAGTAGTTGTGGGCCGATATACTAACCCATGCCAAGGAGAGGGCTGCCGCCACCTCAAATACAATATTTGGTAAGAGGGCCGAGAGCACAACGAATAACAAGGTGGAGGAGAGAAGAAGTAAATGGTAGAGCTGAAAATAAAAGACAGACAGATTAATAAAGGTTGTTCGGGAGGTGAGAAGGGGACCTGGGTGAAATATTTTAGACCAGCGGAAGGGAGTATTTATAGACGAGCTCAAACAGGAGCCTTTATAGACGAGCTGCAGCAGGGAGTCTTTATAGACGAGCTGAAGCAGGGAGTCTTTATAGACGAGCTGAAGCAGGGAGTCTTTATAGACGAGCTGAAACAGGGAGTCTTTATAGACGAGCTGAAACAGGGAGTCTTTATAGACGAGCTGAAGCAGGGAGTCTTTATAGACGAGCTGAAGCAGGGAGTCTTTATAGACGAGCTGAAGCAGGGAGTCTTTATAGACGAGCTGAAGCAGGGAGTCTTTATAGACGAGCTGAAGCAGGGAGTCTTTTTAGACGAGCTGAAGCAGGGAGTCTTTATAGACGAGCCGAAGCAGGGAGTCTTTATAGACGAGCCGAAGCAGGGAGTCTTTATAGACGAGCCGAAGCAGGGAGTCTTTATAGACGAGCCGAAGCAGGGAGTCTTTATAGACGAGCTGAAGCAGGGAGTTTTTATAGACGAGCTGAAGCAGGGAGTCTTTATAGACGAGCTGAAGCAGGGAGTCTTTATAGACGAGCTGAAGCAGGGAGTAAAACGAGCTGAAGCAGGGAGTAAAACGAGCTGAAGCAGGGAGTTTTTATAGACGAGCTGAAGCAGGGAGTCTTTATAGACCAGCTGAAGCAGGGAGTCTTTATAGACGAGCTGAAGCAGGGAGTCTTTATAGACAAGCTGAAGCAGGGTGTCTTTATAGACGAGCTGAAGCAGGGAGTCTTTATAGACGAGCTGAAGCAGGGAGTCTTTATAAACGAGCTGAAGGGAGTATTTATAGACCAGCTCAAGGAAGTCTTTATGGACGAACTAAAGAGAGTTTTATAAGACGAGCTGAAGGAATCTTTTTAGATGAGCTGGGGGAGTTTTTATAGATGAGCTAAAGGGAGTCTTTATAGGCGAGCTGAAGGGAGTATTTATAGAAGAGCTGAAGGGAGTATTTATAGAAGAACTGAAGGGAGTCTTTATAGAAGAGCTGAAGGTAGTCTTTAGAAGACTACCTCATCCCGTTTATATATGACTCGTCCCGCCTATAAATACCCTTTCTTTTTCTCTGTCATATTTTTTGTTTGATTATTTGGAACTCACCCTCGTCTTCTCCTTTGGACTCTGATCGATGTGTTTCATTTCTGCGGCAACGCGTTTCTTCAGCGTGCGATAAAAACCATTTTCGTGCAGGGTCAATGTATAATTTCTCGGCGCTTTGGCTTTACGTATAAAATATTTTTCCAATATAGCCTGGGGTACACCCTTTATATGATGAGTTTCAAATGATTCGGTGATATCCGTACCCTTAGTTTTTTCCAACCAAAAACTGCCACCCGGATGCTTCGATATGAAATCCGTAAAATCATATAAATTATCATAGATACGCCAAAGGCCTTCGGCATTATCATCATGCTGTTTACCCTTTAGCCAGCTGTTATTGAAATGAGATTCGATTTTAATTATTATTTTCCATTGGTAACTAATTTTAGCACAAAACTCACCTTTGATTGGTGACCAAAGGTTTATTCCGATAGCTGGGTGGTTTAACAGATATTGTAGAATTTTTCCATGATGCGAGTACTTTGCTGGCGGGCATTGTTTTTTGGTTGTTTATTTTTCTATATTTATTTAATCTCAAGACAGTCGATGCAGATTTTCGGCATTCGCCAAACTATTACAAAATAACACCCAAAACTATTGATGGTATATTTTTTGGTTTTTGAACTTGATTATGTTTTTGAGGTCATAAAACAAGACTACGATTAACTTTAATGACACAACGCTGAGAGAAGCGTGTTGACCGGTTCGATATCTTCTAGTTTCCGTTCCGTATGTGTTTCTTCTTTGTTTACACTCGGGACACTGAGAGTTTCTTATTAAGCGACTAAGACAAACCCCCTGAAGTCTTAGTCGCCAATACTGAGCCAGAGTCAACTGAGCAGTCGGCGTCTCTGCGGAAAATAATATCGACCAGAGAGCTGTATAGAGCTATCGCAGAAAACCAGTTAAACTTAGACGGAGTTGTATAAAGAACATTTTTTATATTCTCAACAAATAATTGAAACTATTCGAAATCGCTTATGCCATGCACGATCATAAAATAATTAAATATTTTTATAATAGTTTTTCATTGATAACCTACCCCAGTGCCGGACGGCACGCTATCTTGTCTTCTCCTAGTACCGACTATGGCATACATTTTTATCTCTGTCGACATTGACGTGTGCGCCGACGTCTTTGTAAGCGTCAACTGATAAAAATTGTGTTTTGTTTTTAAACTGACTGTTGTTGTTGTTTTTATGTAGATTAATTTATAATCATGGAAATGTATACAGTAAGGGAGAAAAGTTAGTATACAATTAGTATAAGCCTTAGAAAATATTCTTTAAAAAATCCACGCCTCTTGAGAAGACCTTAGAAAATATTGTTTAAAAAATCCTTAGAAAATATTGTTTAAAAAATCCACGCCTCTTGAGAAGACCTTAGAAAATATTGTTTAAAAAATCCACGCCTCTTGAGAAGACCTTAGAAAATATTGTTTAAAAAATCCTTAGAAAATATTGTTTAAAAAATCCACGCCTCTTGAGAAGACCTTAGAAAATATTGTTTAAAAAATCCACGCCTCTTGAGAAGACCTTAGAAAATATTGTTTAAAAAATCCACGCCTCTTGAGAAGACCTTAGAAAATATTGTTTAAAAAATCCACGCCTCTTGAGAAGACCTTAGAAAATATTGTTTAAAAAATCCACGCCTCTTGAGAAGACCTTAGAAAATATTCTTTAAAAAATCCTTAGAAAATATTGTTTAAAAAATCCACGCCTCCTGAGAAGACCTTAGAAAATATTGTTTAAAAAATCCACGCCTCCTGAGAAGACCTTAGAAAATATTCTTTAAAAAATCCACGCCTCTTGAGAAGACCTTAGAAAATATTGTTTAAAAAATCCACGCCTCTTGAGAAGACCTTGGAAAATATTATTTAAAAAATCCACGCCTCTTGAGAAGACCTTAGAAAATATTGTTTAAAAAATCCACGCCTCTTGAGAAGACCTTGGAAAATATTATTTAAAAAATCCACGCCTTTTGAGAAGACCTTAGAAAATATTGTTTAAAATAAACCACGCCTCTTGAGAAGACCTTAGTAAAATTTTCTTTAAAAAATCCACGCCTCTTGAGAAGACCCTAGAAAATATTCTTTAAAAAATCCACGCCTCTTGAGAAGTCTTAGAGAACTATTCTTCAAATATTACTTTTATTTGGCCCTTGAAAAATTGTTTTATTTTCTAATGTCCAGTTTTCAAAATGTCCTCGCCTCCATTCTCAACAGCTGCCGATTCTGTTCCACAATATGTTTCAAAAATGAAAGTTCCCTTAGCTCACCTCCACTTCCTTTAAACTCCTCCAGAGTTTTCTCCAAAATTGGATACAATTGCGGTAGCATACCATGATCCAGTGTGGGAAAGAAGTGATGTAAAATATGATCCCCAAAATGGGTGAGGGTCCAAAAATGATTCCCCTTAATATCACTACGATCTGTGATCGTTTGCAATTGAAAAATGCCCCAATCCCGATCCGAACGCAATGCATCCCCATCATGAAAATGACTAGGAATATGATGTGCTCCATTAAAACTAATGGAACTGAAAATAAAACTAGCAAACATGATTATGCGTGACCACTTGAGTAGGACCTCGGCTGGAGATAATGCGGAGCATAGCCACATTAGAGCTGGTAAGCTAAAACCAATCATGTCATGCCAATAGAGTTCATTTGTTGTCATTATGGATCGCAACGCCCTGAAATAGGGATTTTTGAAATATTTATTTTATTTTCGGGTTTTTTTTCGTTCCCTACCTTTGTGCGAAGCTGGCAAAGAATAGTAAAGCATAGACCAAGGGTTGGAGCAGCAAGGATATGAGGCGTCGAGGTTTTGATGCCACTTCCCTACTGGGTATCCAACAGAGAAATGGTTCGGGCAGAGTCATCTCCAAATCGTATAAAGAATTCGTATAGATGTGGTGTGACATGGCATGTGAAATACGCCAATCGGCAAAATTCATAAGCGTTAAATTAAAGCTATACATTTGCCAGTTATCACGCTGATGAAAATAATTATGGGCTGCCACTGCCTGCCACACTAAAAATAGACCGGTTAATACTTCCACCACAATATAATCCAAACGAGTAGAGATCAGGGCCAATAATAGACTAAACATCAGCAGAGTTAGGTGGTAGAACTGAAAAAAAAATGATTGTTTAAAAGAGGGGGATAGAGGGTGGGTGTTAAAATCATCCTTACAGAAGTCCTTTTTCGTGGACCACAATCCATATCTTTTAAATGTTCCGCAACCCGACCTTTCAACGTACGATAAAATCCATTTTCTTCGAAAGACAAAACGTAATTCCGAGGCTTTGAAGCCTGGCGTATAAAATACTTCTTCAGCAAAGCTTCGGGAACAGCCCTAATGTGATGAATTTCAAAAGCTTCGGTGATATCTAAACCTCGAGTTTTTTCCAACCAAAATCGACCACCTGGATGGCGATCCATAAAATTGTGGAGATCATATAAATTATCATAAATCCGCCATAGACCTTCGGCTTCATCATCCTGTCGCTTGCCTTCAAGCCATCTGGAAAGAACGTGAGAGGGATTTATTTCAAATGTTTAGAAATTCAATTTAAAATCCACACTACCTTGGTATAGTTGCGAAAATCCACTGACGATATGTTGGACTTTTGCGAGCTATTGCGGATTGCATTTCTTGATTTGATTTGTTGGTGGCTACGTTGTTATTTACACTTCGCAAGCTCTCATAGTAATGTCTGCTCGATGAAATATCCATAGCTGAACTCAAAATAATTTTTATGTAAATTATATGAAGGTAATAATGGTCTGGGTATGAGGGCACATGGTCGCATATTAACAGTAAAACCTTGCAAAAAAGCACCGATTTATGGAGGGGTGGATTTTTAAAATAATTTTTTCCAAATATTTTTAAAAGAATTTTCTTAGGGCCTACTTTGAGCCGTGGATTTTTAAAATAATTTTCTTAGGGCCTACTTTGAGCCGTGGATTTTTAAAAGGATTTTCTTAGGGCCCACTTTGAGGCGTGGCTTTTTAAAAGAATTTTCTTAGGGCCTACATTGAGGCGTGGATTTTTAAAAGGATTTTCTTAGGGCCTACTTTGAGGAGTGGATTTTTAAAAGAATTTTCTTAGGGCCTACTTTGAGGCATGGATTTTTAAAATAATTTTCTTAGGGCCTACTTTGAGGCATGGATTTTAAAAAGGATTTTCTTAGGGCCTACTTTGAGGCATGGATTTTTAAAAGAATTTTCTTAGGGCCTACTTTGAGTATTTTTAAAAAAATACTTTTTAATGCCTACTTTGAGGCATGTATTTTTAAAATAATATTTTTAAGGTAAACTTTTAGGCGTGGATTTTTTAAAGAATATTTTCTAAGGTCTACTTTCAGGCGTGAACTTTTAAAAGAATAATTTTTAAGGTCTACTTTGAGGCTTGGATTTTTAAGAAATATTTTTAAGGTCAACTTTTAGGCGTGGATTTTTTAAAGAATATTTTCTAAGGTCTTCTCAAGAGGCGTGGATTTTTTAGAAGAATATTTTCTAGGGTCAACTTTCAGGCGTGGATTGTTTAAAGAATATTTTCTAGGGTCTTCTTTAAGGCGTGGATTTTTTAAAGAATATTTTCTTGGGTCTTCTTTCAGGCGTGGATTTTTTAAAGAATATTTTCTAAGGTCTTCTCAAGAAGCGTGGATTTTTTAAAGAATATTTTCTAAGGTCTTCTCAAGAGGCGTGGATTTTTTAAACAATATTTTCTAAGGTCTTCTCAAGAGGCGTGGATTTTTTAAAGAATATTTTCTTAGGTCTTCTCAAGAGGCGTGGATTTTTTAAACAATATTTTCTAAGGTCTTCTCAAGAGGCGTGGATTTTTTAAAGAATATTTTCTTAGGTCTTCTCAAGAGGTGTGGATTTTTTAAAGAATATTTTCTAGGGTCTTCTTTCAGGCGTGGATTTTTTAATGAATATTTTCTAAGGTCTTCTCAAGAGGCGTGGATTTTTAAAGAATATTTTCTAAGGTCTTCTCAAGAGGCGTGGATTTTTTAAACAATATTTTCTAAGGTCTTCTCAAGAGGCGTGGATTTTTTAAACAATATTTTCTAAGGTCTTCTCAAGAGGCGTGGATTTTTTAAACAATATTTTCTAAGGTCTTCTCAAGAGGCGTGGATTTTTTAAACAATATTTTCTAAGGTCTTCTCAAGAGGCGTGGATTTTTTAAACAATATTTTCTAAGGTCTTCTCAAGAGGCGTGGATTTTTTAAACAATATTTTCTAAGGTCTTCTCAAGAGGCGTGGATTTTTTAAACAATATTTTCTAAGGTCTTCTCAAGAGGCGTGGATTTTTTAAAGAATATTTTCTAAGGTCTTCTTCCATTCGTGTGGTATATTGGTGAGTATAGCGTACCGCTTAGGGTGGTTCTGCCAGCTTTAACAAGTATTATATTCTTTGTAAGCATATAATAATCATGTAAACAATTGCAATGTGGGCGATTCGAATACATTTTGAATTGCATTTTAAATGTTTTAATATTTATAGAAAACAAAAACCACAGTACACTCCAGATAATTGCAACACCTTTTTTCAAAATTTATTTCTTAGAAAAATATTCTTTAAAAAATCAACGTCTCTGGAGAAGCCTTATACAAATATTCTAAAAAAAACCATTCTAAAATACCTATTTTTCATATTACATATATTCAGACCGTACTGTGTCATAAAATATATTGCGTTTTGTATCTCTCCTTGTTAGAAGAATAACTATCGACTCTGTGGGTTTGATTGACATGTATTCTATTGCATGTATGTCGGTTTATAGTCGAATGCATGTATTCTCTGTCGACATATAGACATACATATTTTTAAGTACGAGCCTTATTTGTTGGCAAAGTTAAAAGTCAGCGAACAGATAAGATAATGCCCCCAAAGAAAAGATGAATTTCTATTATAAATAACATTTTTCAAGTTCACTGACAGTTTAGTTCAATATTCATTAGCGTTCGGAATAAGTCGGAATTAAACACGGATTATTCGATATTCCGTATTTGCAAAAAAAAAAATGGTGATTGAGGAATGGAAAAAATGTGGCATTGCCACAAAATTTCCCACCTATCGGAATTCGAAATTTGTCACGGTGGATAGGTATGGCAGGATGCTGAAAGGATAAAAAAAGGATGCAGATTTTGAGTAGTGTGTCCTTTTTTGATTTTTCTTCCAGTTGGTTGAATGGCAAACGTCAGGATGATGAAGCCGAAGGTCTGTGGCGCATCAATGATGTTATTTATGATTTTACCGATTTCATTGATAAACATCCGGGTGGTTCATTTTGGATAAGAGAAACTCGTGGTACGGATATAACGGAGGCATTTGAGGCACATCATTTGACCACAGCTCCCAGTAAAATGATTGAAAAATATAAAGTTCGTGATGCTAACAAGCCGAGGATTTATACTCTGACAATGCATGAGAATGGGTTTTATAAAACCCTAAAACGGCGGGTCATGGAGAAATTGAAAACCATTGATAATGCACCGAAGGAGAGGAGTGATGTAAGTTCCTAAAATGTTCGTGGATTTTTTAAATAATTTTTTTCTAAGGCCTATAAGAGGCGTGGATTTTTTAAATAATTTTTTTCTAAGGCCTATAAGAGGCGTGGATTTTTTAAATAATTTTTTCTAAGGCCTATAAGAGGCGTGGATTTTTTAAATAATTTTTTTCTAAGGCCTATAAGAGGCGTGGATTTTTTAAATAATTTTTTTAAGGCCTATAAGAGGCGTGTATTTTTTAAATAATTTTTTTCTAAGGCCTATAAGAG